GTCATTCATGGACGGACATGAAATAATTACGCTTAAATGTTCTGCTTATGAAGATGATTTGTAATGAGCAGAATTAAGTCCAAGGTCACAGTAGCACTTTCAAGGTTAATAGTTTCATAAAAGTACATTGATGGTTATATCTAGTCATCAATTCTGTCTTGTTTATGCATCTTTTTATACTACTTGTATGACTTTATTTATAACAAATTTATTTAACTTAATTATAGTACATCACATATGTAAGTACAAGGTCAACATATGTTAGAATTCATACATGTACTGTATGTGTTCGTTCCTGACTCTATATTTTTTTAGAGCTATCATAACCATAAATTATGTATTTCATACTTTCAAGTTTAATTCCTCATTGGTTCATTAGGGTATTGACCTATTGAAATAGAACAATGAAACAAGAACACCTCTAAGTGTTAACCTAAAGAGCCCATAAGTTAATCTTATACATCTATTTAGCTAAACTAAACACAATGAACTTGAAGGTTTTATTCATTAATAGTTTAATTTCCTATCTTTTGTTATTTAGTTAAAATCAGTCTTGAACAAACTTGAATCATCTGTACATTTTGAATCCCTCAAATATCTTGATATCATCATGCTTGACAGAGTTGTAGCCCCTTGGAGATCTGTGATCCAATCATGCTTGACAGAGTTGTAGCCGCTAAGAGATCTGTATTCCAATCATACTTGACAGAGTTGAAGCCCCTTAAAGATTTGTAATCCAATCATACACAACAAAGTTGTGGCCCCTTAAATATCTGTAATCCAATTATGCTTGACAGAGTTGTAGCCCCTTAGAGATCAGTAATCCAATCGTGCTGGACAGAGTTGTAGTCCCATAGAGATCTGTAATCCAATTGTGCTTGACATATTTGTGGCCCCTTAAAGATCTATAATCCAATCATACTTGATAGAATTGTAGCCCCTTAGAGATCTGTAATCCAATTATGCTTGACAGAGTTGTAGCCACTTAGAGATCTGTAATCCAATCATACTTGACAGAGAAGTGGCCCCTTAAAGATCTGTAATCCAGTTATGCTTGACAGAGTTGTAGCCCCTTAGAGATCTGTAATCCAATCATGCTTTACAGAGTTGTAGCCCCTTAGAGATCTGTAATCCAATCCTGCTTGACAGAGTTGTGGCCCCTTAAAGATCTATAATCCAATCATACTTGACAGAGTTGTAGCCCCTTAGAGATCTGTAATCCAATAATGCATGACAGAGTTGTAGCTCCATAGAGATCTGTGATCCAGTTATGCTACAGTCATAATTTGTTTTGTTGATGTTGTGTTGTTAGTTGTGCATGAATAAGGGAAATAAAGTATGAGTGGAGGAATGAGGTATTCAAAGTGTGCTGAGGTGAAATGTATGTTGCAAGAAGTGTGCAAAAAGAAAGTTGTATTGACAAAAGAGGATGCTGGACCAGTGTGCTGAGACAAGTGAATATAAAGTTTGCAGTGGAATATTATCGTGTTCTGAGGTGAGCTGTATTGACAGTTGAGGATGCATAGTGTTCTTAGGTGAGATGTATTGACAGTGGAGGATGTATAGTGTTCTGACATGAGATGTATTGACAGTGGAGGATGTATAGTGTTCTGAGGTGGCATTTATTGACAGTGGAGTATGTATAGTGTTCTGAGGTGAGCTGTATTGACAGTGGAGGATGTATAGTGTTCTTAGCTGAGATGTATCAACACTGGAGGATGTATAGTGTTCTGAGATGAGATGTATTGACAGTGGATGATGAATAGTGTTCTAAGGTTTGCTGTATTGACAGGGGAGGATGTATAGTGTTCTGAGGTGAGCTGTATTGACAGTGGAGGATGTATAGTGTTCTGAGGTGTGCTGTATTGACAGTGGAGGATGTGTTAGTGTTTTGAGGTATGATGTATGGACAGTGGAGGATGTATAGTGTTTTGAGGTATGATGTATGGACAGTGGAGGATGTATAGTGTTTTGAGGTGTGCTGTGTTGACAGGGGAGGATGAATAGTGTTCTTAGGTTTGCTGTATTGACAGGGGAGGATGTATAGTGTTCTGAGGTGAGCTGCATTGACAGGGGAGGATGTAGTGTTCTGAGGTATGATGTATGGACAGTGGAGGATGTATAGTGTTCTAAGGTTTGCTGTATTGACAGGGGAGGATGTATAGTGTGCTGTGGTTTGCTGTATTGACGGTGAAGGATGTATAGTGTTCTGAGGTGTGCTGTATTGACAGTGGATGATGTATAGTGTGCTGAGGTTTGCTGTATTGACAGGGGAGGATGTATAGTGTTCTGAGGTGTGCTGTATTGACAGTGGAGGATGTATAGTGTTCTGAGGTATGCTGTATTGGCAATGGAGGATGTATAGTGGTCTGAGGTATGATGTATGGACAGTGGAGGATGTATAGTGTTTTGAGGTGTGCTGTTTTGACAGTGGAGGATGTATAGTGTTCTGAGGTATGCTGTATGGGCAATGGAGGATGTATAGTGGTCTGAGGTATGATGTATGGGCAATGGAGGATGTATAGTGTTCTGAGATAAGATGTATTGACAGTGGAGGATGTATAGTGTTCTGAGGTTTGCTGTTTTGACAGTGGAGGATGTATAGTGTTCTGAGATAAGATGTATTGACAGTGGAGGATGTATAGTGTTCTGAGGTTTGCTGTTTTGACAGGGGAGGATGTATAATGTTCTGAGGTGTGCCGTATTGACATTGGAGAATGTATAGTGTTTTGAGGTGTTTTGTTTTGAGACTGGAGGATGTATCGTGGTTTGAGGTGAGATGTATTGGACATAGGAGGATGTATAGTGTTCTGATGTAAGATGTATTGACAGTGGAGTATGTATATTGTTCTGAGGTGAGCTGTATTAATTTAAACATATTCATTTAAGCTCAGTGTTTTTTTCACTTTATGGGGAAGGGGGTCAGTGCCCATTGGAGGGGGAAAAATGCAACAGGAGGGGGATTTTTATATGGATCTAAAATATTAATGTGTCACATGATAAACTTGTTGGGATACCAGGAGTAGCTCCCCTTACCTATATGAAAAACCTTGCTTAACAGTAAGTCTTACAGGCATAAAATAAAGCATTTTTAGGCAGTTAGTTGCAAAAAATGATATTCATTGCAGGCAGATTTGGGCTTCCATATTATAGGGGGAAATTTCAGCTTTGAGGGGGGAAAATAACATACTATTCTGAGGGGGGAATAGGGAGAATTTCGCCGAATATTTTGGTGAAAAAAACCACTGAAGCTTGATTGCGAAACAAGTTCTTGCAACTTATATTAATCACTTTGGAGTCCGCTACCTGGAACCAACCAGTACTGGTGTCATATAAAGAAACATGGTCGTGACCCAAGTAGGGTTGAAAACAGGCACCTTAACCACTAGGCCACCACTCCCCCTTGTTTGCTGAGGTTTGCTGTATGGACAGTGGATGATGTATAGTGTTCTGAGGTGTGCTGTATTGACAGTGGTGGATGTATAGTGTGCTGTGGTTTGCTGTATTGACAGTGGATGATGTATAGTGTTCTGAGATGTGACATATTAAGAGTGAAGGCTGTATAGTGTTCTAAGGTGAGATGTATTGACAGTGGAGGATGTATAGTGTTCTGAGATGAGCTGTATTGATGGAGGATGAATAGTGTTCTGAGGTGAGATGTATTGACAGTGGAGGATGTATAGTGTTCTTTGATGAGCTGTTACAACAGTGGAGGAAGTGTAGTGTTATCAAATGAGATTTATTGACAGTGGAGAATGTATAGTGTTTTGAGGTGAGATGTATTGGACAATGGATGATGTATAGTGTTCTGAGGTGAGATTTATTTGCAGTGGAGGTTTATAGTATTCTGAGGTTTGCTGTATTGACAGTGAAGGATGTTTAGTGTTCTGAGATGAGATGTATTGACAGTGGAAGATGTACAGTGTTCTGAGGTAAGCTGTATTGACAGTGGAGGATGTGTAGTGTTCTGAGGTGTGCTGTATTGACAGTGGAGGATGTGTAGTGTTCTAAGGTGTGCTGTATTGACAGTGGAGGGTGTATAGTGTTCTGAGGTGAGATGTATCAACACTGGAGGATGTACAGTGTTCTGAGATGAGCTGTATTGACATTGTAGGATGTGTAATGTCCTGAGGTGTGCTGTATTGACAGTGGAGGATGTATAGTGTTCTGAGTGAGATGTATTGACGGTGTCTAAGGTGTGCTGTATTGACAGCGGAGGGTGTATAGTGTTCTGAGGTGAGATGTATCAACACTGGAGGATGTACAGTAATAAGTATAGTGTTCTGGCTTGAGATGTATAAAACAGTTGACTCTAGAAAATGAGATGTATTTTATAATAAGGATGTAAAATGTGCTTAGTTATGGTGGAAAATAAAGTGGCCTGAGGTAACATGTATTGGCAGTGGTGGATGTATAGTGTGTTGAGCTGAGATGATTTAACAGAGAAGGATAAAATGTATGCTTAGTTATAGTAAATCAAGGTTCTAGGGTAAAAGTGAATCCTGCCCTGTGTGTCAATTAATTTGTATGCAGCAACATTTTTCTACTCGCCCAGTATCAAGCTCTTAAGTAAATTCTACTAGTAATTACAAGTGGACAAGTGAAATTTTTAATCTCTGCTTATGATATACATTGTATGCGTTAATCTAAATTTGATGTTTACACATTAATTGTATGACTAGATCTTTATATGTACTTTGTTAAATTAATCATACATGTGTTTTCTTTATATTTCAGAACATGACGATTTTTCTTACAAATCTTTGCTTGCTGAATGTATAAATTTTGGTTTATTACGAGATTTTGCTAATACTGAGCACATAATGAGAATGTCCAAATTGATAAATTACACTTCCTTTTTGTCAAAACTAAGAAGAAATGCAAAAATTAAACATTTTGCCCAAATTGTCACATATTCCTAATATATTTTCATTTGATGACATAGCAATGTAAGATTGATGTACGAGGGATTTGATGAAATTTATTTATTTGTATTTCAGGCTCCCCTAGATCCACAGTCATTACTGAAGGCCTTAAATGAGCTGCTAGGACCCAATGGTGCTATTGTTGGAACAACTGAAGCCGTCAGAGTTGCTAAGTAAGTGTATTATCATCATTTTTTTGCCTGGGTGTGGGGTGGAGGGGGGGTGGAACATTTTTAAAATGGCTTGCAGTAAAGTGAAACATCCTTAAAGATATTAAAAATGAAATAAAATGCCCTTGAAATTGCATATAGTGTGGTAAAACTCCAAAAACACTGCATATAGTGTGGTAAAACTCTAAAAACATGGCATATAGTGTGGTAAAACTCCAATGACATGGCATATAATGTGGTAAAAAAAACCATTCCAATGGCATATAATGTGGTAAAAAAATTCAATAGAAAGGCACAGTGTGGTTAAACCACAATTAATTGAGAAAGCATATAATTTGGTGGAAACAGAAATACAACAGCATATAGTGTGATAAAATTCCTATGAAATGATTTTTAGTGTGGTAAAACTCTTAGGAAATGCTATGTAGTGTGCTAAAACTCTTAGCAAATGTTAAGTTGTGTGGTGAAACTCCTCGGAAATGTTATTAAGTGTGGTAAAACTTCTAGGAAATGTTATGAAGTATGGTAAAAACCCTAGGAAATGTTATGTTGTGTGTTAAAACTCTTAGGAAATGTTATGAAGTGTGGTAAAACTCCTAGGAAATGTTATGTAATGTGGTAAAACTCCTAGGAAATGTTATTAAGTTGGTAAAACTCCTAGGAAATGTTATGAAGTGTTGAAGTGTGTTAAAACTCATAGGAAATGTTATGAAGTGTGGTAAAACTCCAAGGCAATGTTATGTTGTGTGGTAAAACTCCTAGGAAATGTTATGAAGTGTTGAAGTGTGGTAAAACTTCTAGGAAATGTTATGTAGTGTGGTTAAACTCCTAGGAAATGTTATGAATTGTTGAGGTGTGGAAATAGTTCTAGAAAATGTTATGTAGTTCATGTATAACTTCCTTGATATTAAATATTGTAAGTAAAACGAAATTGAAACAATATGTAATGGGTAGCTGACTAAAATTGCCTAATTAAGCATTGAAAATCTTTGAAATATGCATATAGTCTATGAAATTCATTAAAATGTTATATAGTGAGTTAAAACTTACCAAAAATATCAGTCATTTAAGTTACAGAATAACTTCCTTGGGATATACATAGGTAAGAACTTCTTTGAAACGCTGTGTAGTTGATACAGCGTTCTTGAAAAGGCATGTTGTGTGGTAAACCCTGCCTTGAATATGTAGCAGTATTTGTAGGACTTGTAGTGAGGTAAAACTTCCTTTAATTGGCATATAGCCCAGACATCGTTTTAGTGATTAATAATTTATGAAATAATGAAAAGTGTAAAGTAAAAAAGAATAATTGTTGATTCATAAGAAAAGACTTCCCTATGTGTTGAACTACATAATATGTGCCATTTCTAATCTTAAATTTGTAAAGTAAAAAGAATAATAAATGATTCATGAGAAAAGACTTCCATATGTGTTGAACTATGTAATATGTACCATTTCTAGTCTTAGATTTTTCAAACTAAATTGTAAATGAAATTTCACAAAACTAAATACAAAGTAGTATATACACAAAAGTTGAGGATTTGTATATACACAAAAGTTTTCGAATGATTTCATTTTTAATTGCTAATAAAATAAAATTTTAACAACAATTAGAATTGAGTCAGTGCTATGTTCTTATATTGGTTTCTTTCTATTTTCAGTTTGATGAAAGATGCCAACAAATTAGTGAGCAAGTGTGTATACATTAACATCCTCAAAGTTGAGACACCAGCTGAGATACTAGAGAAGTAAGATATGTGTTCAATGTCGCCATGGAAACACGATTTTTCAACATTGATTTATTCTTAATATCTGAATTGTTGACTTACTAGATAAACATTTAGAAATATGCTAAATGTTCTGATACATGTAAAATTGTTTATTTGATTTAAGAACTGGTTCCCACATATTATATTATGAAACTTTGCAGAAGTATACTATAAAGAAGCTGTGGATTTTAAAATCTTAGATTTTAACAAATTGCATAAGAATTGAGCGGAAATATTAGTTAGGCAGTCATAAGTAACTCGGCAGACTTCTTTTGGGAAAAAAAGAATAATTACAACAATTGAAGTCAAAGGTTGATTGATTGAAATAAGTGATATATAAATATATTTCTACATGTATGCTAACAGTCAATGAATTTAAGATTTTGAATTGACTGGCCCGAATTTCAGTTTTGAATTTATTCTACTATATATTTAAATGTTCTTAAAATTTACACTGGCCCGAACATATTCACACTGCCCATAGGCCATCGGGCCAGTGCTAAATTTGATGACTGTGCTGACTAAACAGTCTTATCGCATATATCAAGCTGGATTTATAATATCATTTTGTCCCGTCAAAATGTTAATGTTTGATATTTTCAACAGAATTTTTAATTTCAGAATTCTAAAAATGAGCAGAATTCTAAAAATGAGCAATCAACAGGTTTATCTGAGTCTTTACTGGTTGCTTAGAACTTTAATTGGCTCTATTGGTGTTCAAAAGAGTTTGTTAATAGAGTTGCTGGCCCAGTGGTTAATGTGTCTGCCTGACAATTTATAGATCGTGGGTGTGTGTGCTCGACCATGTTTCCTTGAGAGAAAAAAAAAGCAACATCAGTACTGGTTAGTTCCAGGAATGAGACTGATAAGTGGTTCAAATTTATTGCAAGCTGTCTTCAAAGCCTGTCAGAAATAATATAAAGAGTTATAAATAAGACAATCAATACACAGTGAAATAGCTGGTTGTATACCGGGGTATTATTGGCTAAATCTGTCATTCTTCTACATGTTACGATTATAGCGTAGAAAACAAAATCATTTTATAGCTGCAACATTGCCTATGTTATCCAAAATGATTATTATCCGTCCGGTTGTCCAATAATTTCTGTCCATGCATATCTTAGCTGCATAGGGCAATGAAAAAGTGCAACAAAATAGGCCAGAATTTCTATAATGGATGTATTAACTTTAATATGAAGGTTGTATTTCAGCCCAGTTATCAATGGAGTATCCACTTTTGTTCAATACATATTTTATATATATAAACAATATTGTTTCACAGCCATGTAGAAGCATGGTCTTAGTTTTTAATTTTTGATAAGGACTCAAAGCTTTAGAAAACAACTGTATTGTAGTTCTATAGAGAAATACTGATAAAATGAACAGCTGGGTAAGCAGTAAAAATAGCTTATAAATGTGGTAGCTTTTAAAAACTTGACACATTTCTGCATTGATTACATGGTTAGAATTGCATTATCTTAGCTTACCCTTTCTGATATGAGACCCAGAGAGATATAATTTCTGTAATTGTTCTCAAATATATATTTTCTTAATGTTACAATGCTACAGTATTGTATTCATATCAATTTACATAAAATTTAAATACCTGCACCCAAGTACATCTAAACCATTAAACTTCTGTTTAGTTTTGAGAGATGTCTATGATCATTGGTTGGATTTACAGACCTTTAGCCAGGTCTTGCCATGGAAATGTTTCATGTCTGAAAGTTATTGTGTTAGCATATTGGACATCATTAGTTCCTGCATAGGTTCCTCCTGCTTGGATGTAAAGAGATGCAACTTTTTATCTACCTGTAAAGTTTGAAAACTCATCATAAATGACCTTAACAGTGATTCTGTAACTGGAAAAATAAGGACCTTGAAAATGTTTATTATAATTATTTTAAAAAAAGCGCACCAAAGAAAAAATGAAGTAACATTTTGTTTTAACTATGACTTTCAGATTAATTTGTTCTGGAGGCTGGGACACGATCAATGAATGGTTACAAGACGCCAAGGAGTCGGAGAATTTCCCGTTACTAGTGGAGATACTGAAGGTGTATCAGTTGTTGCCAATTACCGTGGATATTCTGAAGACCAACAACGCAGCCAAAACTATAAAGCAGTTGTGTAAATCCGACAATGAAAGTAAGTAGTCAATTTTCTGTACAAAGTTATAAATATTAACATTTGATTCTGATTTTCAATGTAAACAATGATTATAAAAGTGAAAAAAAAAGAAAAGAAAGAAAAAAAAGATAACATTTCTTTGAATAAGAAAATATTCTGATATTCTGGTATATCCTTGAATAACCCAGTAAACAGACCATCCTGATGTTTGACATGTGTTCTCTCCTCTTCATTTACTTGCTGTATTAAAAAAATATTTCTTTAACTCTAAAAATGAAGCAATTTCATCTTTTCAACTACATCAAAATGACTTGTGTATAAAGTTAGTTGTGAATCTCATTTCAGATAGTTATATTTTTCCTTTCCAATTTTCAGATACTAAAACTCTGGCTACCAATATCTTTGATGAATGGATGAAAAAAGTGAAGGGAAATAATAATAACTCTGGTAAGGCAGATGTGTGTAACACTTGTAAAATAAATTATATAACAAATATTGCATGCCCTTTAAAAGTTTTTATTTTTCTTTCAGGTGCTTTATTTCATAATGATATTGCTTAAGAAATACATATATACCATATTTAGTCATCTCTTAAAGATGGTTTTTGTTCTTCTAATTATTGGGATGGTATGTTATAATTAAGCCACAGAGTCAAAAAAAATTTCGAAATTGTCATTTATGAAAGCCAAAGTTTTTAATAGTTTGACCCCCTTTAATATTCATTCTGTCTGAAAAGTGAGTGAACTTGCTATGCCAATAAAAGATCAGAAAATACAGCTCTCCTGGTGCTTAAAAGAATATTTGATGGATTATAATTGACAAAAGTGGTTGTTGTGACTGAAGCACATGGATAATTGCTAATGCACAGGTCATTTGTTTTACCCTCACGTCTTATGGGCAGGGTATCATGGGAAAAAAAATTTACCTACTGTTTGTTCCACCATTCTGGGTCAATTTGCTTGTTTTACTTGGGCATCAGATTAGAAGGGAATATTTTAAATGGACATTTAGCAGGGGTTTTACCGTCTGACTTGCAGATAAGAGTTTTTGTGGGAGGTTTTATACTTTTAAATGTCAGTGTTAATGGTTTCGCTATAAATGTTTTGAATATTCCATGAGGGATGCATATTTTTGTAGAGGATAGGTATTAATTTAAAATACTGATGCTGTGTTATTCCATGGTTTTTTAAGGCGATTGGGATTTTATACACCTATTGCATGCTAATGATAATTCATATAGTAATATATTATTGTTGAAATGTTTAAATTTTGATGTCCAATTCAATGTATAATAAACAAATTTTCAAAAACAAGATATACAAAATTATACATATTTCTTCCTTCTTGATAAAACAGTGTGATAATTTGATTTTTATGCATCAGAAAACTTTAAATGATAAGTGTAACTTTAAATGATAAGTGTTTGTGTTTTGGTGAACCTACAAAAGGATCAGTGCATCTTCTAAACAAATGGATCTCATTTCAGGTTTATTCTGCACACAACTTCTATCCCTTATAGCATCCCTGAACTCTAATGCAAATTTGTTTCAATCATGATTATGAATACCAACAAAAATCCAAGTCTCTGACCTTGCAGAAAAAAAGAGTTTATTTTTTGTCAAAATGCCATGACAGGCTTGTTGTAATGAGTGTTTAACAATTAGATTTGTAGGATCCATATGGTTCTGATGATAATACTATAAAATAAGGGGATCACTTTTAAATCTCTTATCTTAAAGTTTCATTGCCAAGGTTGTCATCTGCTTACTGGTCTGGCACCATTAACCAGACACTTTTTTAACATTATTCCATACAAATTTCATAATTCTAAAGCTAAAGATCTGAAAATTAATAAACTTTAGCAGTGTTTAAGCTGTTTCTGTCATATTTGTCCTAAATTTAACATGGCTAGAATTGTGGAAATTGGAATGGAATTTGTGTCTAAGCATTGCTAAAATTTTAATAAAATAAATGGGATGAAACTTGTCCAAACATGTGGAAATAGGAGGAATATTATAAACATTGGTAGAATTTTAGAAAAAAATGGGATGAAAATTGTACAATTTCAAAATTTTGATATTCTTTCTTCACCTTAAGAAAAACATCTTTCTGTTGTTTGTAAAGGTTAATGATGTTACATTTAGCTGTACTTGTTTTCTTTAAATTTTCAGGTCTGGTAAGTAAGTAATTTAAGATGAATGATTTCTATGTTTTGTCTATACTTAATACATGTCATGTCAGATTTTACTTGAAAATAAATGTTTTAATTTCACTTAAAACTGCAAAACAATATTAACATAAATATATGACTGAAATACAGCTTTATAAACTTTGATTTTCAGGAATATGTCCCACATGTTGCATATTTAGTTATAAAAAATTTTTAAGGCTATATAAATTGGCATTGTAGGTATGACATATAATTCAGGGAAAGGCCAGACTGGTGTTTTTTGGTTACAAATTTTATGTCTATACATGCCCCTCACCAATGTTTGTTTGAATCCTGTGGTCAATGCAGTGGCTGGAGGGGCCGTAGGTATAATTGAATAGTGAATTAGACCCTGGAAAAAGGTTTACTCAAACATGACAAACTGGGCTTCGGTGATTAATTGCTTGCATGGAATATGAAAAAAAGTTCCCTGTGTAAAAAATGCATACTATACATATTACTACTAAATTAACTCTTGTGCATAGAATATGGAAAGTTTCCTCGGTAAAAAATGCATTTTAAAACTTTAGGTTCCTACATATTACTATTGTATATACTGATTGCTTATACATGTAATTTTATACATGATGTCTTATACTTAACCTTTATCCTCCTGAATTTGTTTAATGGACTTGCCCAGCTTTTGAATTTGAATCGGTCCATTTGATTTCAATATCAAAATACAAGTGTTCTGATTTTTGAAACCATAATAGATATTTCTGACTTACAAAGAAGGAGTTTGCAAAAGTGCAAATTCAGAAGTGTTGGATTTGAAGCTATAAACAATTCTGTCATAAGAACTTTAAGTGTATTATATATATATTGTTTAGTAACATGTGTTTTTGTTTGTTTTTTTGTTGGTTTTTTTTTTCAAAAAATGATTGAGTAATAAAAGGATGAAATATAAATTCATCCAGCGAGTATGATATTTTCAGATGACAAATCAAAGAAGAAGAAAGACAAAAAAGACAAAGACAGGGATGAGAAGAAAGACAAAGACGAGAAAAAAGACAGTAAAAAATCGTCCAGTAGCAAAAGTGATAGCAAAACTAATAGTGAACACAAATCATCGCACCACTCGGAGCATAGATCGAGCAGCGAACATCGAAATAGTAGTGATAGTAAATCAAAGAGCCGGGACTCTAAACACGAATCTAGTCATCACAATCATAAGTCAGATTCAAGTAAAAAGAACCGAGACCGCGATAGAAAGATAGAAGAGGAGAACACGGATTCTAATTCCAATGACAGTGTCGATAGTGACGATAAAGTGACCGTAAGGCAAGGTTCGGGGCTCAAGTTGCATATTAAATTAGGAAATGATAAGGAACGGACCACAAGTAAATCAGACGAGACAGATAAGAAAAGGATGTCAACTGTTAAAAGACCGCCAAGCAAATTTAGATCAACAGGTTGTTATATGTTGAATAAAGATTTGTGTTTTTTAAATGATTTCGATCGTGTAAGAAGCTCAATCTAGCAGTGCCTTTAAAAAAAAAAAGGAAGGAATTACAGGGTTTGAGTATTACTAACAGACAAGTTACTGTGATCATTCACCTGACAAAAAAATGTCCCAACCTTGATAAAACTTGTATTTCATTTTTAAGATAAATTCTTTGATAATTAAAGCCTTAAGAAAAGTTACAAATTCTATATAAAAAAATGTAAAAAAATCATGATATGCTCTTTAGGAGACATTTTTTATGCATCTTGGCTGAAATACATTTCCGTAATGGCTGAATTAATGTCTGTAATGGCTGAATTAAATTTCTTTAAAGGCTGAATTACATTATCTGTAATGGCTGAATGACATTTATGTAATGGCTGAATTACATTTCTGTAATGGCTGACTTGCATTTCTTGAATGCAATTTTAGGTAAAATAAGTAATTCAGTGAGGACAAAACAAAATTCAGAAAACCAATACAGCTTATTCGTAACTAAAGTTGAAAAGAAACAAGTAGTAAATAGTGAACTAACACACACATAAGTTTTGATAAATTTGAAATATACATATTTTGACTGAATAACTACACATTAGGTTAAATCTGAAGCAGATGTTCAAGGTAATCAAGTCAGAACATTACTTCTTCCACTGTATTGATTGTAAGCAATTATGACTGCTATGATTGGTCTATTTCAAAATTTCAAGTTTAAAACCAGCCAATCAAATGCGAGACTGTTGACTGGTATGACTACAGTATTTTGACTGGTTTCAAAAAATCAAATTTCAAGATTTAATGGCTTACTACAATTTGAATAAAACCTGTTTTAGTTGTGTTAGGTAGTTAGTATGAAGTTTCAGCAAGTTTACAGCGCAGTTGCATGAGGGACACTAAATTGGCAACCAGGTAATTAGAGAGTCATTGACAGGTAAGAACACCAACCCTGAACATTACCAAACAATGTATAGAACATATATTAAGGATATATTCAAATTCATGTTGTTGATTTTCTTTTCAAAATGGCAAGAATGAAAGTACAGAAAAATATATATGTAAAAAAAGTAATCTTTGAAAATTACCTTGCGAGTTGCTTCCATATATTTATTTCAAGTTCATGTCATTGGAAAATTTTTGATAAATGTACAATGTCCAAAAAAAATACACTAATTATCACAAAATTGGAATGTGAAACAGGTGTGCCACATGTGACCAATTCTATAGTGTGGGAGAAATTAAAATTTATATTCAGATATTGTGAGGTAAGAGTGCAAAAGAAAAGCGAAGTTCTCATTGACCTCTCAAAAGATATATTTATCCTCTCAAATGACCTTTCATCCAAAGTTATTGATGAGATTTTTAAAAGGTGAATAGATAAAATATTTAACAGTAATATTATATTATGTTCAGTTCATAGGGAACGCATCCTTATCTGAATCTTGGCCACAATATAATGAAAGGAAAAGTACCATGTATATAGTTTGTATGACTATTTGTGTCTTAAGAAGTGATTGATGCATGGGTTCAGCTAATTTAAAAGGGTTTGCATAACTACAAAAATGCAATAAAAAGATGCATGTACTTTCATGCTGTCTTGTTAGAATGGATGTAGGTTTGATAATAAAAAAATATATATATTTTGCAACTACATTAAACGATAAAATGTGCAATCCAATTTTAATGAGAATTGCTTTCTGATTATGCAGATTCATACACAGTTTCCTGAAAATGAACTGTCTTGTAAATAATTGAGATTAAAGATGTATTTGAAGATATTAAAAGTAATGCTCCTTTGAATTTGCCTTAAATTTTTTTGAAGATATTTATTGCATACATTTCTTTAGCTTTCTTTTCCTCTTTTGATAGATCTAATTTGTCGGTCTTGGCTAGGAAAATATTGGAAAATGAAGTAAAACTTTAAATTGCATAATCTTTAGCTTTGTATATACAAATATTGAACAGCATTGTGCTGCAATCAATCAATAGCAAAAAGCAGTTCAGTTAGGCTACCAATAGGTGATTAATAAAAAATAATGTATGAAAAAGAAGACTTCTTCAGACCAACTTACTACCTCATAATTTGCAATGCAGACCTTTATTATAAACATGGCAGACTTTACCGGGTGTTAAAACCAAGCTATGTTTGCAATACTAGTTATATAACAAGAAAAAGTGTCTGGACTGTTGTCAACACTCGAGTGCAAGAGGTTAATGTAATTAGTGTAGATCTTGCTGTAAATCCCTGCAGCTGGATAAATGGCCGAATACTGCAGATAAGCCTGCTGGCTTCTTTTGCCAAGATATGATGCATTTAATTCACTTAGTAGTGCTAAACTGCATGTAAGTGGTTACTCTGGGAATTCTCTATAGGGAGAGCATGGTCTCTTTACATGCATAAATTTTATTACCTAAAAATGGGACTGTGCCAAATTCAAACTAGGACAAGGACCATTAAAAAAGGACAAAAGGCAGTAAATCGGAGCTTATTCCTTCTAACACAGGCTGTTTATAGACTGTTTCCCCTTTGTACTTATCTTTTTTGCACAAATGCCATGTTAAAGAGTAAGCCCACTTTCCTGACATGTAAAAAAAGAGGGCAGTAAGATAAAGGTTAAACCAGCAAGACTGTTCTGAATTCAACCTAGGAAGGGGCCATTACACAAATAAGATAAAGGTTTAACTAACAATGTACTGTTCCAAATTCAATCTAAGACAGGGCCATGAACACAAAAACAGTATGGTAAAGGTGAAACAAACAATGGACTGGCCCAAGTTTAAAGTAGACTTGGCCATTACACAAAAGCAGTAAAGGTGAAGTTATTAACCTACTAAATTCAATCAAGGTTAAGGCCATTCTGCAGATGCACTATGGTAACAGTCTAATAAGTTGTGCATTTAACTGTTTACTGGAATTTATACGGTAATGTATGACAGGAAGAAAATTTTAATTAGTTAGTACTTAGTGTGCCACTTCTGTTTTGATTCTGACTCACCCTAGAACAATGTAGAGATATGTTTAAATGTTTTAATTATTCTGACAAGTCATTCAATCGATCTTTGTTAGATAAGAAATGGGTTAAACTCTTACAAACTGTCATTAAGCTGTCAACTCAGTACATTTAAACTTGTTTTGTACTGGTTACCTCCCTTTACCTGTTAAGCAAGTTAAAGAATCATTTCGTCATGCATTAAATCTTACAAGTTTTCAAAATTAACATTAATGAGTATTTTTCTCAAATATTCATGACTCGGCAATATGCATGAGGCATTGGAGCATGCGAAATAAATAGTATATACAAACAGCACTGAAGTAGTAAATTGATAAAATTTTCAATAATAATAAAAATTTAAAAAAAATTAAATAATCTTCTAAGGAAAATATTAAAGAATATAGCTTTAATAATCTTAAGGAAAATATTATAAAATAAGGAAAATACTTTAAAATATAGCTTTGAAACGCAAATTTTAGTAAAAATAAAAATGATTTATAAACATTTTTTGCACATTAAGAATTATATATATTTGCATGTACTACTAAAGAGCCAGGTGAGCATGCACTTTTATGCTGTAAGGCCCTGTTACAGATAGTAACTCATTTAAAATTCCTTGTGCTGAAAACCCAGTGAATTAACATCAGACAGCTAACAAATCAACGGACAAGGCAATCGAGAAATTTTAGCTATTTAAATGTCATATTCTTTAAGGAAAGGTAAAAGAATGAAAAAAAAAACTTTAGTATTTTTTGTGAAGTAAAATTATAATTTTAGAAAATATATGGTATGTATATTGTGATTGATACATATTTGAGGAATATTACGGTAATATCTACTTGACTTATATATAGAAATACACAGCCTGTGGTAAAATATTATTGATCTCTTGTGTTTTCCTAAAAGGCATTTAGCTATTTAATGTAACACAAGTAAACACATATCATCACCTTAGTGCAGTAAAATATTAACTCCTAGTAAATTATATAAGGGGTTAACCCATTACTGCAGTAAGATGAGAATATAATTACTATACTACACCATATTAATCTTAAGCTTGCTTGGAGCAACTGTTTTTACCAATTAAAACAGTGCAGACCAAGATAAGATGGCACATCCATGCTGTCTGCACTGTTTGCTATTCGTTCATTACTTACTTTGAAACTCTCCCTAAAAATGAAGAATGGTTTTGTCCAGATTGAAATATGGACAAGCCCATTTAATATACAATTGTATTTAGTGGAGCAAGGGTTGAATAGCTTTAGTATGGGTAGCTTGTAATTGTTGCCAACTTAAATTCACTTGCAACTTTGCCCTTGCAGCTGTTGGTTTAAATTGTGCCAGGGACCAGGCCTGACAGATTATGAATTCTTATATGTGAGGAAGCTATGCAGCTAGCTTGTGGAAGGTTGGTGGCTGTACTCAAGTGGCCAATTCTGCATGAAGTAGTGTGTGGAGCGCATCTGAGGTCTTGCTTTAATAATAGAACTGAGAAATTTGCTGTAATATTACCTTTACAGTGCAGGCTTACTTAAATTACTGTAAATAAAATGGGAAATGTGCCTTGAGACAGTTATGAATAAAAACCATTAAATCTAATTTTCAAAATGTTGTCCTTTAAAATAAAGTCACATGCATAGAGAAACAATGACAGAAATTTTCTTTTCTACAAAATACAAAATAATAATTTAGTTTGGCCTGTGAAATTTAATGCTCAATAAATTCAGATATTAAAATGCACGACAATAGTACAATATATGTTCCTGTTTGTGAAAATTGACCAATGAAAATTTTGGAATATCAGTTTATGTATACAATGTTAATTGGGCACACCTGTTTAATCTGTAAATCTTTTTTAATCCTACCTCTTTTGACCAGGAAGCATACATGTTCTCAATTGTGGTAGATTTCATTTGTAAATTTCCAGGTTAATTGCAGATGTAATAAAATATAAAAAGTAAATGCTTTTATATGGTTAGTGTTTTAGCCATACTGTTGGTAATTAGCCATCAATGTGGTGTTTTAGCCATACTGATGATTTTTTTCAGCCATCTGGATGGTGTTTTAGCCATATTTTTGGCTTTTTAAGCCATAATGGTGTTCATTAGCCATACTGTTGGTTTTTTAATCATCTAAATGGTGTTATTATTATTTATAGTTAGATTGTTGGTTGTTCAGTCAACAGGGTGGTGTTTTAACTATGAAATGACTCTATACCTATTGCCATTATACAAAATATAAAAAGTAAACAACAGCTGAAGGTGTGAAAAAAAAAATTCTGTATTGAAAGCAAGATGAATTTTATGATTTACTCTTTGTCTGTCACAGTTGAGAAAAAGTTGAAACATTGACTGGCAATTTGAGACTTTGATAATAAGATAAATGATTCTTTTTGTTTTTAAGGAGGGACACAAAAAATTCTTCTATAGTCATTACAAAATGGGTCTTATAAGGCCTTGAAAAAAAATAATTGTGACACTGCAATCATTCCTGATAAAAAAAATGACTCCAGTTTTGATCAAGGTCTGTCTGACTTTGTGAATTTCCTTGTCCGGACAAATTCTGTGTTATTGACCACTCACATTTATATTTTAATATTGAAATCTGTGAAAATAAAAATGTCCGTTCCATCAACACAATGATACAAGTCTATACGATGAAAAAATTACAATATAGTAAGTTAATAGAAACACAAGGCATTGCTAGATTGTATGAAATTATTTCTTTAAATAAAGTTACAATAAGTCAACAATTTATGTCACTCATTTTCATTTCATAGATATTTATTTATGAAATTTTATAGTTATTTGATTGAAATTATGAAAAAATATATGAGTTTTTAAAATTAATAAAAATACTGTTGTTTTTGTGTGTAATATTTCTATGCATATTATTATTTTATGATATAGACCTGGTCAGAACTAGATGTATTGTTATTTGTTATTCGATTTCTATAGAAATAGTTCATCAGAGCAGAGTATTATTTTATTTATTTTTTTTGTATAAAAAGATAAAAAAAATTTTTTTTAATAAAGACTAAATCTTTGCAATGAATCTAATGACAAGGGAAGTAAGTGGTTAAGGGAGATATGTATAATAAAAATTATGTAGTAAATACTACTTTATCAATTAAGGTACTTTAAAGTGGCATTCCTCCAGATAAGTGAACAATTTTATTATTTTTTAAATCCCATTTACCCATAACTTACTGAAATTGAAAGTTGTAAGCCTTAGTTATCAGTATAGAGCTAGGCCTGCCTGTCCATCATCGCAGTCTCAATCTAACAATAGTCACAATACTGTTGGTACCTCAATGTTTGTTACTTGAGACTGAAATTCCTTTATTTTCAAATGGACTATTCCACATTCAAATCAAGGCATACCCTATATACAAGTTGAGCAGAAGAAGTGTTTAAGAAAATTCTTAACTTTAAGACATATTAAGATTTGTGATTCTTTGCATGTCCTATGTAAGATACATGTACGTCGGAAATTTGTTTAACCATTTTTTTTCTGTTCCTCAATAAAAAGTGATACTTCAGTCTTTGCATATTTTCATGCTATGCTTTGTTGATCACTTTATGTGAACCTTTGACAATGGACAACTACGTGTATTGATTTAAAATATTTTTCTAATATCTTTGGAGAGGGGAGGGGGTGAATTCGAGGTTTGCTACTTTAATAAAAGTTTCCTTTGAAAGCTAAGCCGGAAGAAAATAAAAGATTTCAGTTTTGTTGATTATACATGTAATATCAAATTTATTAGATAACATGATACTTTTTCATATTTCAAAGTGAAAGTTGTATATACTTAATAAAGCTAATTGCATAATGTATAAGACTCTAAAAAAATGTTTACTACTGACATTTCTATGCCACCAGAAAAAAGCCAGAGGCAGAATGCACAACAATGCTTTATGTACAAACCATGGATTACTTCCCTTTTTTTGGCAAAAAAGATACATTTGAAAACAAGAACAAAAAATACTTCCTCTAAATTAAAATGGGTAGTTCTAAATTCCCTCATTAAACTTCTATGGGCATCGTTACAATCATTTACAACAATTATTGTTATGTTATTTTAATGATAAAAGATTATTGTTATTATGTATTTCTAAGACTACTGTTTTTGATATGGAGTTTATTTGATGTATAGGTTAATTTAAGCAAATATGTACCAGATGTGTTCTTATTTACAAAATAATGTGATATTTAACAAATTTACACAAGTTTTACATATGTATATTTTATATGTTACATATATTTTATATGTTATATTATATAAAATGTTGTTGACAATAAACAATAAAGACGGAATATATATAATGTGTGTTTGTTATATTATCTCTATATATAAGTGAAATTAATATTTTTCTCTCTTACTTTACCCCCTCAGGTCTGGAAGAAGCTAGTGTCCTGTCAAAACTGCCCAAAAATGCTGATCTCACTAAGCCTATCCCAAAACGAACTGGGTAAGAACTGCCATACAAAATGGAACCGTACCATATTTATTTATGTATTCTTTGTCTTAATCAGTGAAATGGAATAAATCTTCTAAGGGATATTGTCATTGATAAGTGTAAGGAATTTATATATGAAGGAGAATATTGTTAATTGAGGGCACATATTTGGTGAAAAAAAATCTGGAAATTTTGTTTAATAAAATGGACACTTTCGGCTAAGCATTTGTCTGGCACTGAGTTTATCGCCTTGTACAGAGGGGTCTTGAACTCGAGAAATGGTCTTCACGTCATTGTTGGGCTTTTTACTGATTGTTCAAAAGCCCGACCAGTTTAAGCTGTGAAATTGAATTTGAAATTATATGGTCAAATATTCCTTCATCGTCTTAACGGAAACTCTTCTTTGATATTATTATAATGGCTCGGCCAAAATCAATAAAGTGATTTTGAAAGAACAATATGTTGCAAATCTTGTCATGATAAGTCTCGAGTGTTTAAAAAATTTTCACAGCTATACATTGTATTTATTAAAACCAGGGTCAGGTGTGGGTGGGATAAGGTGGAAGTTGTAAGGGATTTAGGGTATAGGTCTTAATAGATTATGGTAATGGTTAATGCTAGTTAAATTTCTAATTCAGCATTTGTCAAGGGGTTTATTCCATTTCATTATTGGCTGCCGTTATAGTTTTATTATTGTTAGAAAGAGCTGAAAAAGATCAATACCAGCTGTTGACCAGTTTTCATTTTCACAGATACATAAACCGATTTCTTTGCTTTTCTTGCACGTTTTTTTGTGTTTTAAATAATTATAAATGATCCTGTTACTAGAACTTTCTTAACAGCTGTCTGTTTGTTAGATTAGAGCCAGATTTAACTTTAAAATTACGATATGAAAAATACTCGTAAAAGATATCTTACATAATGTGTCTTTTGTTATCTTTTTTTAAATCATTCTTGTATAAATATATTTTCTCGAACATTAAATTGATTTCTGTCCAATGCAGGTCTGATATAAAGTCTGAGTTACCAAGCAAGCGTTCAAGACCAAATATGCCACCACCATTGAGTGTTCCATCACCATCAACGTCATCGTCATTGAGCTCCACTTCTTCAAATTCACCACAGTCCCCTGGAGAAATTCATGGAAAAATAAAAATCATACCCGCAAGACCAAAGCGTAAGCATGTGTAACATTACAATATTTTATTTTGTTATGTAGAAAATGTCGTATTTACTTATATCTTATTTGTAGCATGTAAATTATATATCAGAGAACATAATACATGGTTCAACTGTTTCCTTCTGCCAAATTTTACATTAGTTTTCTTAAGAATATGATATTGATGCAGTAATTAATTTGTTTGTTTTATAATACTGTCTAATCTTATATTCAAAAACAATCTTTAGATTAGAAAAAAAAACATTATTTGCAAGTTGTAATAACACATACTGTGTAAGCTTAGTACAAAAAGGTTATATCTTGTACATTTTAGTTGCAACCATTTTAAATTTTGGTATATTTTATTCAAAATTGTATTCTTGATAAAGAATAAAGTGACAGATGATATTTAGAATGAACATAAAATTGCAAGCTGCCATATTTATATATTTCTCCGACATTACAATGGAAAACATGCTTTCAGACAACAAAATTGTAAATAAGTATATGTAAACTGTAGATAAGAGGCGAGAGCAATTTTCCGGGCGTTATTACAATATTACACGACCTTAGCCAGTATTTGTTAATCTATCGGGGTTCATAATCCTTAAAACGTATAAACTTCATACACGAAATATCTCTTCATGTTTTCAGCCAATCATGTTATACACGAGAGTTCAGGGTTCATGAATAGTTTAGATGTTGGACGACCGTACGGTGCTCTGAAGAAAAAACGTAGATTATCCGGGGCAACAGCCACTCCTCCAAGCAAAAGTTCAAATTCAGGCGTGCCACCAACTACTCCCCCAAGCCCTATTTCACCCACATCTGCAATTGCCAAGAATCTTCCAACAGTTCCATCAGTAAGTCTAATATATTTTAGGGTGCCTTCATTGACAAATGGTTTCCAATCACTTTTGCCTTACTACTGCAGTCATATTATCATGATTTAACTTAATTATCATTATTTAACTAGGTCATCATTATATAACAAAATTATCATTGTTTAACAAAATCTCCATTATTTAACTATATTATCATTGTTTAACAAAGTCACGATTATTTACATAAATTGTCATTATTTAACAAAATTACCATTGTTTAACAAAATCTCGATATTTAACTAAATTGTCATTATTTAACAAAATTATCATTATTTAACAAAAGAATTATTATTTAACAAAATTATCATTATTTAATCAAATTATCTTTGCTTCTATGAAATTTTCATTATTTAATGAAATTATCATATTTTGACCAAATTGTCATAAATGTCACTAACTTATTATTGTAAACAAATCATCATTTTTTTTAACCAAATAATTATTATTTAACCACTAAATCAGAACTTTTACAAAATTATCATACCTTACTCATAATTTTTGTTTAATTATCATTTGACTAGTTTATCATTACTTTTACAAAATTATCATTTCATAACCTAGTTATCATTACTTTTCAAAATTATCATAAATCACAAAATTATCATATCAAAACCTAATTATCATTACTTTTCACCAGTTCCACAAACTTATCATTTCAAAATCTAATTATCATAACTTTTCACCAGTTCCACAAAATTATCATTTTGTAACCTTATTATCATTTCTTTTCACCAGTTCCACAAAATTATCATTTCAAAACCTAATTATCATTACTTTCCACCAGTTCCACAAAATTATCATTTGATAACATAATTATCATTATTATTTCACCAGTTTTACAAAGATACTCAAGAGGACAATGCTGAGGAAACAAAAGGGGAAGAGAAAATTACCAACCCTACCAATGAAACTAATGATGAAGCTGAAATAAAAGCTGAGCCGTCTGAAGAGAAGGAGAATAAGCCAGGTTTGTTGAAACTCTGAGATACTTCTAGTACTAATATCAGACTTAGATGTCAGATGAAAAATTAATTGCTAAAAAAAATTTAATTGTTAAAAATGAGTTAATTAAAGTGCAATACCTTCATACAAGTGTAAATGATTAGTGCACAGGTGAAAGACTTTGTTTAATTCTACAGCTTACTATGGTAAAATACTCAAGAATCCACTTGACCCTAGGAAATTTCTATAAATATTCAGAATGTTTAGTTAGCATTGGATTTTTTAAAAAGAGTGGGGCAGTCTTTTTTTCTTTTTAAACTAAGGTAGTTTTTAATTTTATCCTAAACAATTTTCATTATAAATTATTGGTCAGTCACTATTATAGAAATCAATCTTTTGAAATCTATTTCTAATTTAACTGGACAGGGATAAAATGAGCATAATAACTCGGACATAAATATTTTTTCAGGGTTTGGCTAAGTTTAATTACTTCTATTTTTCTTTAAGTTAGGCAGTTATATTCCTATAAAATTATAACGATAATAATTAATTAAAGTTGAATGGCTTATTTGTGAATTAAATTTGAATGGCTTATTTGTGAATTAAGCAAAAGGGATTGGTGGGGTAAGTGGCGGTGCTTATAAAAAAAGTAATGCTAATAGATAAGAAACAATATGGTATCTTAGTTGAATTACACAAAAAAAAGGTTGTTGAAAATCCTCGAATGATTTATGTCCAGTGTTAATTATTATTTATGACACCCACTAGAATCCTGAGATAACAATTACTTCACTCCTGTATGCTTACAGATGCCTACACGATCACATGAAAGTTTCAACTAATTACAAGTGTTAAAATACGCATAAATTAGTAGCTGAGCCATTAGCAGGTGTGACATTGTTAAATAGATAATGTCACACTTTCTGAACATGGTTTAGGAGACGATTATGTTAAAAACTGGTGATATATTTGTGGTTTTGACACTGCACATTAATATCATGTGTGGTCCCCTAATCAAGCAATTTGTATATAAGGTTAATAATATCATGGTATGTGTGTAAAGCTATATATCTGCCTGCTGCATAATGTATTGTTTTGAAACTACGAAAAAAGAATACTAACCAAAATACCAGTTTGGAAGAAATATGCTTGTATAGTGGCCTAAGAGCGAATTGTGCTTCCACAAAATAATTGAAAAAGTGTTGAAAATAGTTAATTAGCAGCATACTATTTTATTCTGGAACATTTTATTCTATTTTTGTTCAATTTTCATTAAGTGTTAGATAGCAGAGACATTTGTATTATAACTCTTTCAATGATTGACCATGATATAATACAAAATTCACTGTTAATTTTATAATGATCATATAAGAGATATATGAGCTGGGTCAGGACAAAACCAACATAGTGCGTTTGCAACCAGCATGGATCCAGACCAGCCTGCGCATCCGTGCAGTCTGATCAGGAACTATGCTGTTCGCTATCAGTTTCTCTACTTGTTATAGGGTTTGTAAGCGAACAGCATGGATCCTGATCAGACTGTGTTGAGGCGCAAGCTGGTCTGGATCCATGCTGGTCGCAAACCCACTATGTTGGTTTTGTCATGATGCGGCTCCTATAACCTTTAAGGGGGATAATCCATTCTGATCTGGATAACATTCTGTTCAGCCAACTAAATTTTCTAATGCTTGCATTGATGCTGGAAAATGTCATTATACACCTATCCAGTTATACATACACTTTCATGTAGTGTTAATTATACAACAGTAACAGAAAACAATGGCCCAACACCCAACAATTACAGTAAACCATTCAATGGTTTGCCAACCACTTCACCCATAGTCACCAGTCGCCATTCCTCAATAGCTTAATTTATATTTGTATTTGTTTTAAAGCAGTACAGATATAAGCATTAAGCTGAGAAAAAAACAACAGATATTTTATAGTATGATAGATTATACTTGTTGAATTTTTTACGGGGAAAATTTATTACCAAGGCAAGAGTAAGATTTATATAGCAATGTGAAACTTTGGCAACCTTGGCAAAACTTTAGACAAAGAAAAAGTTCATTTGTTATACAACAAACAAAAAAAAGAGGAAAAGAAAAATACATTTTCATAATAATAAATTACTTTGTACACTTTTGAAGATATTAACCTGTAGAATGAATGAGCTGAAAGTGATAAGCCTTTGCCACCTGTTAATACTAATAGCCAATATTGTTAACAGGAAGTCACTCTGACTGGACTCTGTTCTGTCGAACAAAGGACTTTAAAACATAATTTGTATTCTGATATCCCTAAAATGGGTAATTTTTCGATACCCTTAAAATAGATAATTTTATGATACCCCTAAAATGGATAATTTATGATACCCCTAAAATGGATAATTTTATGATACCCCTAAAATGGATAGTTTTATGATACCCCTAAAATGGATAATTTTATGATACCCCTAAAATGGATAGTTTTATGATACCCCTAAAATGGATAATTTTATTATACCCCTCAAATAAATAGTTTTATGATACCCCTAAAATGGATAATTTTATTATACCCCTCAAATAAATAATTTTATGATACCCATAAAATGAATAATTTTATGGAGAACTATTTACTCCAGAGACATGCAACTTTAATATATAAGCTTTAATATACTCTTTTTTAGCAGAAGTTGAGAAGGTGGAAGACAGAAGTCCGTCACCAGAATTGTCGTCTGCAGGGAAAGAATCGAAAGGGTTGTTGACAACTGGTGCTACCAAAGTAAAGAAGAAGAAGAAATCAGTTACATGGAAGGATGATAATGAAATTAAAGAAATTTTCTATTTTGAGATGGATGAAGATGAAAGAGGTTAATAAATCAATCTCATTCGTTCATTTCATTCATTCATTCATTCATTCATTCATTCATTTCATTCATTCATTCATTCATTCTTTCTTTCATTCATTCATTCATTTATTCATTTATTTATCATCTATTTTGATAGTGGTCAAATGAAACTAAAAATATGATTTTGTTTAAAATATTTTTGGCAAACACATTTTCTATTTAATTTTGCTTTTGGTAATGGTTTTGAATTATTTGAATTATTTTTATTAATTTTTTTGTGAGGTGAGTTTATGCACAACCTTTATGACATCATAATATGATTTTATAATTTCTCTGTTTACATTGTGATTCAAGGTAATTTTTGAGTACATGTAATTTGTAAAAATATGTATAATTAATGTGAAGTTATTTTAATCTTTTTTATTTTTTATCTTAATTACAGTGAATGTTAATAGACCCAAAGATTTCAACCAAGCTCAAAGAAATGAAATGATGGCAGATAGGAGGGTATGTATTAATGCTGTTGATAAACCGCCCATCTTTGGTTTTAACTCTTACACTTTTAGAGTCAAAAGTGACTAGCTTTTTACACCATCATGATAGAGCCAGGTTAACCTGCATGCCCGTGCAGTCTGCCCGGGCACTCTGACCAAACATTATATCTTTGGAAGCTCAACTTTTGTATATTTATATTGAAATTTCTTAAAACTTTGAACAGACTGTGTTATTGAAAACCTAGCAAACTCATTGCACAAATTTAACAACTTAAGAGTTATATTTACTGTTTTTCTAGGCTTTTGAGTCAAGTGTAAGAATGAAGAATGATCACATGCAGGAACAAATTACAGTAAGTACATTATTTAATCATCCTTGTGTTCTGCTTTCGATTATCGGGGCAGAATCTTTCACAATGGGGAATATCTAGATATAAAAATATAAGAAAGTTTAATCCACTTTTCCAGTTTTTATTTGATTTGTAAACACATATACTTATAATCAGGCAGAATGATACTGCCAGCTGGAAAAGGGATCTTTTAAGGGGTTCTCTCACTGTCCATTGGTTTAACTTAGTTGACCAATAATTAAACATTATTTCTGGAGAGGCGGAACTACAAGATCTGGCTTAATTCTGAAAATACTTTAGAAATAACTTACATATTTTGTAATCACTATCAAGAAATTTAATTGTCTATGTTTTTAAAAGAATAAAGTTTATCACAGATGTTAATATAACAAGCATTTTGCAATTCTTTGTCTGGTGTAAAAGGTTTTTAGCACGTTGGCTTCTCTGTAACAACATGTCACCTGTTTAAGACATTCTAATTGACCACATAAATGTACTTGAGAATTAACAAAGAAAAAAGTGTATAATTTAGTTTTATCATTTATAAATGTATGCCTAATTTTGAAATCAGAAAATACAAAAATAAAATTTAAAATGAAATTCAATACAAATATTTCACTCACTTATTTAATATACACAATATAAAATATAACAAGAATATAGCTAATTTTTCATAGCATGACACTTGATTATTATTAAATCTTTAAAAAAAAGAAAGAAAAAAAAACACCCTTAATAATGAATAAAATGATAGCTCAAAATAGAGAGGAAAAAACAATCAGATTCTTCTACAACTTGCAAGTTTGAATTGTAAGTTTATAAGTTATATGCTTAGTGTAAATTTATTATGTATTATTTATTCATGAGTATTTGGAATAGTTTTTTGGCACTAGATTTACATTATGTTTGAGTTTGTTTTAAGGGAGACAACTCAATTACTTAACTTTAACAAAGGTATTTGTATTCATTAAAATTTTTAAAATGAAGAAAAAAGAACATCATTATATAAAGAGAAGATTTTTCAATATTTGGAGTGTATTAAATAAATAATTTTTTGCTAACAGTGGTACAGACCAAAGATTGTTGAGGGTTACAAGGTATTTGATTACGGTAAAGACAGTAAAGAGAAGACAATCCAGAAACTACGGGAACAGAGCGTGTTACAGGCTTTATTCTTCAACCGAAACATGCTCCCCGACAATCCACAGGAACCGGATCCCGAACACGAGGAACCGCAGGAGCCGAAAATTATTCCGGTTGATGATGTAAGATTTTATTTTGTTACGATATAAAAACTTGCTTTATGATGCAGGTATTTACTAAGTTTTGTCCCGCCTAAATGGGGAAATTCTTTGTCGCTTTGTAAGAAATATATAGCATGAATATATCCAATTGGGAGTACTTTGTTACAATGTTTTGTTCTGTAACTCTTTACTGTAAAATGCAATATAGTTTCTCACACCCTTTCGAGTATTTTGTGCTGGTGGAATTCTTCCCCTATTTAAAAATATTACAATTTTAAAATATTGAAATCTGGTATGTGTCCTTTGAGAGAAAGAAATGAAAAATGTACCTTTTTCCCTCTCAGTACAGGGGATATGAGCTGAGTTTTTTTACCTTCCATTTATCTACCTCACTCTTTCATTTGTCCACGCAGAGCAGGACCTTTACCAATGCTTCAATAACTAAAGCTGATGTCAGTTTATTCAATTTTCAAATAAAAATCAGTTTTCCAAAGAGGTGTGGATTTATTGATTGCCCAGAAAAGATGGTACTGTCACATAATACAACGTCAGATTTTATAACTATTAACCAAATGATGTCCAGTAAATTACTTAACAACTGGCTGTAGTCAACTATTTGAAAATAATTCTTTCACTATGAACTTATAAGAATTTAGAAATAGATACTTGATTCTACATTTAATGAATCATGTTTTGATAATATTGCATGGTTTATTACTGTGATGTTTATGGTTTATTAATACAATAATTAGCTCCCTTGATACAAGTGGCAGCCATAATTATAAATATCAGGACCTATTTATATGTTAAATTTTTATACCATTTACAGCCCGACCTGATGATAGAAATGTTTAGGAGATTTTTACATATTGTTGTACACAAAAGGAAAATTGAACAAAGAGTAGGAAACTTGTTTAGTTCTCTTAGTTTGAATGATTGTTAATCTTTATTTTGTATTCTTTTCATTTTTTTTCTTTCTGTACAAAATCACCAGAATTTGTCTTCTTTCATTGAAAAGTTAGATTCGTTTTTCTTGCACAGTTAACGTTCTTGCATACACACAAGGAATTAATTAGTAAAGAATATAGATAATATGTCAGAATTTCAGCTGGTGGATTTTTTACAGTTTTTTTTTTCAATGTATAATTTTGTTCAATGTTAGTTTGCATCATCGTCATCATCATCTGCTTTATAATCATCATTATCATCATCATCATCATCAGTATCATATAACGGTAGATGCTTTCAAATTATCACAACGGTCCCCATAGATTATCAGTTGCTAAAGACGGACACACAATTTATGAATAGCGGATGCATGGTTATAGTGTAAGAGTTATCATCATTATAAACTTGCTTAATCCATTTAGGATAAGGTATAATATCACAAAATGTCCCTTACACCCTTTGTATGCAGGTAAGTAGGTATAAATATTCTGAATAAAAGTCAAATAATGTGATTGTTTGACTTCATCTATAATTATCATCAAAAATTATCATCATTATCATTATTATTATTATCATCATCATAATTGTTATCCTGATTTTTATCATCATCATCATCATTGTTATCCTGATTTTTATCATCATCATCATCATTATTATTATTATTATTATTGATATCATCATAATTATCATTATCACCATTATTATCATCATCATTATCATGACATCATTTTACTAAAAGCAGTAAAGTTAAAAACAGACATTTTCATTGTCTTCATTTTTATCACTAGTATACCTAGGACAATTCAGTTTTAATTTCCTCTATTGTTCTTTAATCTTCTTACATACCTTGTTATCAGATATGAAAATTACATCAAGTAGTGAAGTCAAAACACCCTCTGACCTTTTTTATTCTATTTCGAAATTGCTTTTAAGTCCATAACCAGTATTTATGAATAATAGAAAGAAAGAGACCTATATGTATATGCATTATAAAAGATCTTATTTGCATTCAGTCAAGGGAGGAAATTAAAATTAAATGCCAAGAGAGAGTCATAAATTTTCCTCAGATTACCTTCTTACATTGTATGTTTATTAGAGTTTAAAGTGGCTTTTATTGGTATAAAAGTAATAAACTACGAGGTATAAATATAGAGGACAAAGTCATCAGTTTAATATGAAATACGTCTATTAAATTTAGAATAGGTTCTGATGTACAAATGAGGGGTGAACCCTTGTATAATGATTGTATAATTTTTTTCAGTGTCATTTACTGCATTGTCATGGCAAAGGGCCTCACCTTCCACCGAGGTTTTAAACATGACAAACTAGAAAAAAAAAAGTTTTTGAGACTAATGAACCTTTAGGACCAATAATTTGTGTACAAATTTCATTTATCAATTTATCACAAAGGTCAATTAATAGAGAAATCATTTAGAAGTAAGACTTAGGTGTTGATTCAAATACAGACAGGTAGGTTTAAACACTTAATCTTTGAAAAATCATATTCCTACTCAAAGACCTTGACCCTGTCTGACACTTAGTCCCAGAATGATAATATTCTTACCAAATGACCTTGACCCTGTCTAACAGTCCTAGAATGGGCATATTCTTAACCAAATGACATTGAACATGTCTGACAAGCCTTGAGCACATTCTTAACCAATGACCTTGGCACTTAGTTAAGGTCATATGGCTTTTCTTTTTTAATGTGCTGCTGAGTAAAATCACAGACATAATCCTCCAGCTGGATAGCTTCATCACATGATAAAATCCAAAGTCCCTGTTGGTAATTGGAACGGCAAAGATGAGTGGCAAGTTGCATGAAGATTGGGGGGGGGGGGGGGGGGGTTGTCAAGTGATTTGAAGTCATTGACCTTTTCCACTTACAATAACAGAGGTTCCTTTGAAAATAAGAACAGCATTGTTTTTCTCATGTTAATAGGTCATAACTCTTGAGCATTGAAGGATATGTAACAAAAAATTACCATGACAACTTGACACAGATTGCAATTTGTTTTTAATTTTTTTTTTTTATTAATATCATTTTTTATTCTTTAAGATTTATGACATGGAACGCCCAAAAAGATAAAACAAATTTATAGGAGGAAGTAATTTAGAAGTATCTTATGATTGATTGTAATTAAGATAGACTGACCTATTTTCTGTTTTATACGCTCAATTCCTCACCACATTACATCAACATAAGCTGTTGGTGAAAACATACCAGGATAATATATCATAGGAAAATTTAGATGTCTAATAAAAGCGATGTAATTTTGTTAATTGGTGTACACGTTTAGCTGTTCTGAATGACAGATTGATTTTAACGTGGGCAAACAGATGAAATAAATTTGCATATTTGAATAATTTTTAGATGTATTTGTTTAAAAAAAAAGCGAAAAAAAAAGTTAAAGGGTAATAATTAATAACAGATACATATCAAGGTGAAGTTTAATGTGATTGCATCTAGGTGTAACATCTAAGGTCATTGTTCTAAGGCAAGTCTCCTGGTATTTTCTGAAAATATAAATTTGATTTTTTGTGTGTCAGTCAGTAAATCTGAAAAGTTTTGGGATTTGACCTTTACTGTGTTAATATGACTTCAAAACCCAACTTATACCTAGATAATTGAGCTGCGTCACGACAAAACCAAAATAATGGGTTTGCAACCAGCATGGATCCAGACCAGCCTGCGCAGTCTGATCAGGATCCATGCTGTCCACTAACAGTTTCTCTAATTGTAGTAGGGTTGGTAATCGAACAGCATGGATCCTGATCAGACTGCACAGATGCGCAGGCTGGTCTGGATCCATGCTGGTCGCAAACGCATTATGTTGGTTTTGTTGTGACGCGGCTCATATTATTTGTCAACTTAAAGTTTTTTTGTTTGTTTTTTTAACCTTGGAGGTTTTTTTTTTTCAACGGGAACCAGTTTGTATTTCAGTAATGTAAAACTCTACTGCTTGTAAATCTAATGTTAATGTTTTCCTGGTGTGACATACCAAAAAATAGATTAATGTATAGTTAAAAAAAAGGTGAAAAGGTACATATTGTAAACATGGGTAGGCTGGAGAACAGAGCTGGCTAGACTATAGAAATAAAATACCATTTTCATACAGGATTTTCTTTGTTCACATATTTTATATTGTGATTAGTGTATGTTTATAAATCGCATAATTTCAGTAGAATTTATAGACAGCTAGAACCTTGAGACCTAAAAATTAATCAAGAAAAAGTGTAGTAATTATTGAATGTGAGAATTAAGGGGAAAAGAAATGTTAAGATATTTTTTTCAGATTTTTCTGATAGATTATTTTTGTCTCATTTCAGATGTCAGGAGGTGAAGAATTCCTGTATAATTATGACAGTCACCCCCAGGCTGTCCAGAACAAGGCTGCAGTCCCTCCCATGGAAGCCAAAATAGATCCTCTGTTCCAGCCACCTATGAATCCCCAGCAACCGCCCGCCCCAGGCCCCGGGGGCTTCAATCTACCCCCAGGGCTTCAGTTGCCGCCTGACCTAGCCAATATACTGAGTCACTTACAAAATACCCAAAGTAATCCAAATGACCCAGTGATGTCACAGGTTCAACAGATTTTGAATAATATAATGGTAAGTTTTTGTTTACAAGCTGTAAATCTCAGGGTTCATTGAAACTTGTCCTCATTTATTACCCGAGTAATTTTTGAAACATAAAAAAAATGGCCAAAATAACAAACATTGCCACTTTTGAATGTTTGGGGTTTTTGGTTTGTGAAAGTGATATCATAATGAATATTAAATATGTTATTATTTCATATGACCTAAGTACATTAAACTTGTCTTAGTTATGTGTTGTAAATCCCACAGGTTCAATAAAAATCAGTAAAATTTTACCTTATAAAAATAAAGTCAATAAAGGGAAATAAGTTACATCATATTTATTTATAGATTTTTATCATCATTATTGGTACATGTATAGTGAAGAACAGTACAAAAAGTTTAAATGCAAGAGAGAAGGCCACTTTAATAACTAAAACATTTTTAGGTAGACTGTTTGAAGAATAGGGAGAGCTACTGTACTCACCCTGGTGTCGGCATCATACTTTGGTTTAGTATTTGTTTGCAAGGTGGTATCTCCAAAACTACTAAAAGGGAATGGGTTGAACCTTCACACACATATTTGAGACCAAAATAGGTCACTGTCCAAGGACAATAACTCTAATCATGGATTCTGACAGAATTATGGCCCTTTTTGAATCTAAATTATTCAATATTACCCAGGCTCAAGCACTGAGAATAGTTGATCATGTTCTGCTATTGACTGCTCTTGTTTGAGTTCTTTTATAACAGTATTTTGTCTCAGAAACGACAGTTTTAGTGTTGACTAATCTTTGAGCATTGAATATTATATTTCCTTCTTCCATATTTTCAGACAATGTGAGTAGAAGTTGTTAAAATGTCTATATCATTATCTTATATCTATATAATATATGTGTCTATTTATAGTGTGGTGGAAACGAGCAAAGTTACGAGCAGCTACAGCAAATTCAACAAATTATGAACTCACAAATGGGTAAGTCACTGTCTTGTCAATGTTTCTGTGAGATCTAAATATAATGTTTGGTTGATAGTGCTAAATCTACTTAAATTACCTGAATGAACTTGTACATCTTCAATTTTAATGCAGTCCATTATTATATATGGGGGTGTCGTAATGAAAACTCCTGGTTATTAATAATTTATAAATGGAAAATATTAAGTATTAGGTCTAACAAAATTTAATGTACCTGTATTTAGTTGTTCCATGATCATGAAACCCTGTGAATGTTATCAATTCTTATTTAAAAGTATTCAATGATATATTTTCTGGCCATTGGATCATAAAAAACTTCTTGAATATTTTTATTTGTTCAGGAACATGTTTACCTGTTATTCGCACTTCACTTTGTTACATTTCAGCCTTGAATTTGCATATTGTTTATGATAATTTGGATACAATATACTTATTGTTCTTAAATCGTCAAATGGCAGCATTGTATGTAATAAATGACATTTTATTACTTCTATGCAATCTAAATATAACTCCATCACATTTTAATATGAAAAGATTGTTTTCTGTCCGAGTGTAAATCATATTTTGATGTTAGTGTATATATGTATGTTGTTTTATTTATTGTAGGTTTACCACCTGATGGCATGATGCAAGGACCTCCGCCAGGTATGCCCATGATGGGAATGCCTCCAGGCGGTCCACCCATGGGTCCAAGAACGCTTTTGGGTAATGCCCCTCCTGGTTTCATGCCACAAAGACCAATGGGTCCAGGGCCTGGACCAAACAGATTTGGACCTCCAGGTAACATGTCTTTTACACATAGAAAGATAAAGGTTAAAACGGTTATTCATACAAACGGTTATTCATACAAACGGTTATTCATACAAAGGCAGTATGCCCATCAGTATTCAGTATACAGTAATAATACAATCAGCATTTGCAGAGTCGGAAGTTACATAACATCAATGGCACGATATACTTGAAATAAATTAAAAGTTCATTCTTATTCATTATTACATAACTAGTATTTAATATATATGATGCATATACATTAAATATATTATATTAACAGCAATAACATGATGTAAGCATGGTATACATGAAATAGGTCTGTTACAAAGTCAATTCTTATTCATAATAACATATCATATAGATATAATATATATGATACAGTGAGTGGACATTAGGTTATTGTTGATACAGTGCATTGTCTCTTTTATTAAAACTTTTGAAAACAGATATCATTAAACTTTTAACTACCCTCATTTTCATATTCAAATAATACTGTAAATTTTAGTGCATTTAATTTAGGTCTCTTCCAAAAATAGTTTTTAATATGCATTTGTCTAATATCTTGGTACAGGGGACATTTTAATATTAAATGAAATTCATTCTCTAGAGTGTTACAAAGTCTACATTTTCTTTCTGTTTGTTAATCAAAATATAAAACATACTCTGCAAGGTCAGACTATAAATTTATGTAGATTGGTCTGGCTCAGGGCTAATTGAGCCGCGTCACAACAAAACCAACATAATGGGTTTGTGACCAGCATGGATCCAGACCAGCCAATAAAATATTAAAAACGTGTAAATACTAAATATGATGTGTTAGGGGCAGGAGAGTATTTTGTGGGATGCAGCTCATTGGGCCAACTTCTAATTAATTGCCTCTCACTGGTTAGAAATACCAAGGTGATTGGAGTCCAGATTAGAAATATTCCCCTGTACATGTACATACTAATTCTACATGTACTGTATGAAATCAGGTATTTTCTGGAGGTCACATTTTGGCAAAAAAACACCTTGAACTTATTGGCAAGCTTAAATAGTCACAAAATTCTAATTTTTAACTTTCATTTCTGATGAGATATAATATAGTGTAGATAATAAGCAAACATTTTATTTTTGCGAAAATGTTCAATTCACGAAATTTCTATCGATAATCATTTAATTTTTTGGTTTATATTTTCCTTAAAAATGGAAGGTATGAAAACTTTTTGCCTATCATATTTACAGGTAATTGGGGTCCTCAAGGAAACATGGGAGGTCCTCCACCAATGGGACAACAGGGAGGAAAGTTTCGAGGAGGAATGAGGGGCCAGGGACAAGGTCGAGGCCCTAGAGGAGGAAGGGGAGGTAATTTCAGAGGTGAGTTAATGAAAAAAAGTTTTATTGACACTTATTTTAAAAAAAAATCTTGTCTTTACTGTGCATAAAAGCAGTTAATTTCAATAGTTCATTTCACTAGTTTTTGCATGAATTTAACTAATTAAACATATTCAATTGATATCCAAATCACAGAAGGGTTCTACATACAAACTAAATCCCAAGTGTCAGTCATGACCCTGCTCCCCAAGATCCGCACATTGATATGTATATATTCTAACCAAGATAGAGAAACTACTTCTTTTTATATAGACTAAAAACTTTTGAGTAGATGCTTTTTTTCTTGCTTTATTGGAATTATAGTCTGAAAATCCAATGACACTCAAACCCATGCTATCTAGGGACTTTAGTTGAGAGACTATGATAGATAATGAAACTGGATGACCAATAGGAAGTGTTAAAGTACATGAAGAATGCCCAACACTGCGAATGTTGTTATTTTACAGCCCGTCACCTACAGACAAGCTTCTTTTAAGCAGAAAATTATTTTTGGTTCTTTTCAGTATTATGCCGACACTTTGCCAGCGGTCAGTGTAGAATGGGGAACAATTGTACTTTCTTACATCCAGGGATTAATGGTCCACCATTGACAGAAGAAATGTTAAACAACCAAGGCAACTCATGATAGTCAATGAATTTTAGATCTACAAAAATGGTGTCATGAAGTCTATACTGCCATTTTGTGACAGGACGTTGTTGGAAGATAAAATTCCTGGACTGGTTCTGTTTTTCACAGAGTATAGTAAACCAGTCCAAAAACTGTCAAAAGCTAAGGTGCTACATGTCTTTACTTGGGCATGGCGTGATTTTGTGAAGCGAAGCTCTTGTCTAGTTAATATATGTAAAAATGTTGTTAACCAGTCAAGAGAAGAAAGTGTGAAAAATCAAAGATGTCGGACCAGTCTGAAATTGTTGAATGTGGGTCTTTATTTTGAATGTGAGTCTTACAATTAGTGTAGGACAAGTAATGGTCTAAGAAGTGTGAAATTCAGCCTTGAAGATGAGAATCCGTCACAAACAGAAAAACTTACAGGGTTAAATGGTAGGACATGTGGTGTTGAATAATAAATGTACGATGTAGTTTGAAATTGTCATTTATAATGCTGAAGGAGGAAGCTGAAATAATGCCGACTGGAATCTGTTGATGATTGTTGTTATAGGTTACACACACGTTAAACCTGACCAGTATGTACCAGGAAGTTACGACGGATTTATGTTTTGATTAATAAGTACATGAAAAGAGAAGCACCAAAAGAAAAATATAAAAAATGTAAAACTTTGTGTGGAGAAGAAACAAGTTTTGCATGTATCATAATCAGTGCAGTGGGGTAAACAGTAATGGCAAGCAAATATATATGTTTAGCTGGGATCTAGGCAGGAAACTGAACCCATTTGTCTGCTTGAACATTATTTTGCTCAATGAAAATTGAGGTTGAAGACATTTGGGCATTGGTGATATTTAGTGAATATGGGACACTAGTGAAGTGGTCAGATATTTAGTAAGATTACAGTTTCATGTGGCCAAGATCATAAAAGTATTTACTGTTGCAATATTGATGAAATATTTGAACTAGAACAGTTTTACAAGTGATATTCTGTGAAGTAATGTAAAAAATTTATTTTGAAATATGTTCCTCGGTGTGAAGTTGTATTCACACAGCTAGGGTGCTCAATCTAAATTGTACAGTTTGCAAAATGATCATTACTGATTAAATATTGTATAATATTTTGACTGTATTAATATGGTACATTAAGAAATGATGTTCATTAGTCAAGGTTTAATTGTTGAATTTAATCATTGGAAATTGGAATATAAATATTTGTTGAAATAAAGAAATATGTAAAAAGTTTTTTTGCTAATTTTAATAATATTTTTGACATTATGATTTCTTATTAATTCAGGTCAACACAAGAAATGGGTTTGAGAAGAAATTTGAAATGAGATTATTTGTGATAAATTTCATTTCTTAATACATGTAGTGTATGCAATGAAGAATATATGATATATATGTGTATCATTCATAGTTCTTAGTTTTGTTTGTTTCTCTTTTTTGTTGCTGGTTTTTTTCCGTCTTTCTTGTTTTCCTTCAAATGTGAATGACATTTATTTCTGTTTAGAATCATGATGTATATTTGTTTCTTGTAGTTTATTAGGGTTTGCCCTTGTTCTATCTAAGAAATTAGTTTCAATGATTTAAAAAAAAATACATAAATATCTTTTCTTTCACATATTTGTTCAAAATTTTGCATATGTTTATTTAAAATGAAAGTAGGTTCTTTTACTTACATTTGCATAATAAATGCCCCTACAGTCAGATGAAAATGAGTATAAAGGTGGTCATTTTGGGCTTGGCTGTTCAATAAATAGTTAGTTACACTTGGTTAAAGTTTTGCTTGCAATGTCAATTTTTATAACTAAGAAGATATTCACTTGAAATTTCACTTAAGATTTCATACATGTTTTCAGACTGATTAGGCTTTTTTTCCAAGACCCATACTTCTGGGACAGAATTTTACTTAATTTTAGCACTTTGTGAACATGCAAATTAGAAAATTTTTGGTTTAAGTTCTAGATGCAAGATTATCTTCACAAAAACTGAAAGTTTTCACTGGAAACGTTACTCATGTAATTGGGATCATAATTTAAGGTGAGTTGCCAAAGCGTGGGTTTTGAATATAGCTTTGATCTTTTGAGAGTCCTAATATTATCCAGGGTTTTTTTTTTAGTATTAAACAGTTAAAATAGTCGAGTGTACTGTCCTACTGGCAGCCTCTATTTTGTAGATTTGTTTGTTTGTTTGTACACTGTTTGTGTGTTGGTACATCTCATTTGATTAAATTCTGTCATTTTGATAGAGCTACTTCTTTGTAAACTTTTTTGTATGCAGATATACTTTTGTTTTGAAAATGTAAAATGACTATATTTTCAAATTTGACAGACTAAATGCCTTGTGATGAAATGAAATAAATTTGAAAATCCATAACAATGTCTTTGCTCTTTTTATTCTGTCACAATAGTGTCGACTGGCACCAATATTCCTGGAAGTCTGCGAGGATGTCAGAGGGTCTCGAGATGTTAAAACTAATCCTAATTAAATCTTTTACAGTACGGTGGCCAGAGACAGTCTGCATTTTACAACACTCCTGCCCTGCTTTAACAGCATTTTCTGTGACAATAAACCCCGAGAAGTCTTGAAATCTTGTTTGTATGTTTTTTTTTTCTTTTTGACGCATTGCATACAATAAAATTATGGGTCGAATTTACTGACGCATTGCATACAATAAAATTATGGGTCGAATTTACTCCTTCAAACATGCGCAGTACCAGACTACAATATGCGCCCCTTCCATTTTACTGTAACTCTACTGCCATCGTTGCAAGTCGTGAATGATTGAATTAATTTATATTTAATAATCAAAACGTATGAATATATAAATGGTCGTCATTTTATATACAATAGCGTGTGTCAACAAAATTAACAAACTCGGAACATAAAGACACGCCCAACATATGGGTTGCTAAAATCACTGTTCAAAAATAATTACAAAGATTTTGCTTTCAAAGTAAAATAAAAATCAAATTCATTTATCTGTTTAAGACCGTCACTTTAAGCGGATACAAAACGTATCCGTTTCTTTATCGCTAAAACGATATCAATAAGGAAATGCTTTTAAAAAAAAACATTGCAACCTTTGTAGAAAATAACCCCATCTAATCTCCTTTTAAATGCTAGCTTTAGAACGTAAATTTATGGAGATAAATGGGGCTTTATGCGTTTTCTATCCAGGAAGACAAAGTAGGCTTGTAAAGATCTATGAGTCATACACGCGCGCGCGTGCTACCCCGCGTTCTTTTACTTAAAGTTGCACGCCCCAAGGTGAGCAGATTTTTTTTCAAGCCGTTACTTATATATTACCGGAACGAATAAGGGCTTTTACTGTATAGTTTGCCAAGCAAATTATTCTTCTGGATCAATGGTACCTTAGACTAGGGAAAATCACACTATCTATACACTTAATGCTTAGCATTTACTGATGTGAACAAGCTTCAAATTTTCATAAAAATCTACGAATCTAAAGATGTGTTGCTTTAAATGTGCAATGTGCAATTATTTACATAATGTTATCAGCGCCGGTGTGTGCTTTATAAAACAAAACTTTCACATGATTTTTTAATGCTTATCAGCAAAAGAATTGATTTTCATGTTCCTTTTTATAAGGGAAAGCGTTTCGTACGAAATGCACTGAGCTTATATGAGCCGCGTCACGACAAAACCAACATAATGGGTTTGCGACCAGCATGGATCCAGACCAGCCTGCGCATCCGCGCAGTCTGATCAGGATCCATGCTGTTCGCTTACGAACCGTACAACAAGTAGAGAAACTGACAGCGAACAGCATGGGTCCCGACCAGACTGCACGGATGCGCAGGCCGGCCTGGATCCATGCTGGTCGCAAACCCATTATGTTGGTTTTGTCATGACGCGGCTCATATATTGTTTTTGGTAACCTTGTGTCTGTTGTGGAAATAAAAGGTTTTATTTTTAATTTTATGTTCTCCGCCTAGATAAAAGCGTTGTTATATTACGGCACCTCATTCTGCAGTGTTCTCGTCAGGACATAGTTCAACCGAGGAGCTTACCATCGCCTAGATAGGCAAACACCAAAGCACAACATCTAACCTCAGCACACCATTAATTAACATATCTACAGACTAAAGGAACCCGGCTTCAATGCCGGATTGGGAGGGAGTGGGGTTCAAACATGACAGCGTGGTTTGTCCAAATAGGCACGGCTTTTAATGAAATGAATAAATGGTTCAATTAACGTTGTTCAAGAAATAGACTCAAAATCATTTAGGCCCATCTCATTGGACGAAAAAGTAGGTCAAAGACAAATGAATCTTAATGGTATAAGTCTTCAGAGTCGTTTGAATTAAGTCGTGGTTCGGACCGCGATCCGAAAAAGAAAGCCGCCTTTGTATATAGGTACTACAAGCTGCCTCTCAAGGTCTACTTTCTACTTTAAAGGGACTCCGCTGAGGGGTTTTTTGACATTGGGGACTGGAAATTTTTTTTCGAGGGTAATGGTCCCATTTGGTTTAGGTCTGGACCAATAATTTGTTTGCAAAATGTCAGGTCATTCTTACTGTTAAAAATGTCCCAAACTTGAAAAGCGTTGCAACGCTTTTCACTATAATCAGGATAAGAATAACACGAAAATACGATTTTCAATTTTGACAATTCTGAGTATATGTCTCAATTATCTTTTACATTTGAGCCGCGTCACGACAAAACCAACATAGTGCGTTTGCGACCAGCATGGATCCAGACCAGCCTGCGCATCCGCGCAGTCTGATCAGGATCCATGCTGTTCGCTTACCAACTCTATTACAAGTAGAGAAACTGATAGCGAACAGTATGGATCCTGATCAGACTGCGCGGATGCGCAGGCTGGTCTGGATCCATGCTGGTCGCAAACCCACTATGTTGGTTTTGTCGTGACGCGGCTCATTTCCTTCTGTTTTTTAATGTGCCCCAACTACTCTATGTAAGAAAATGAAATTTTATGTTTTAGGCTTTTAGACCTCAGTGGAGTTCCTTTCAATTCCTCTTTTCAAAGATGCACGGGGTTTGTACTCGACATGTTATAACTATGCTAACACTTAGACTAGTGACTTAATTGGAACTTCAAAAAAAAAAACACACAACAACACCCCCCCCCCCCCAAAAAAAAAAAAAACAACAACAAAAAACAATGAAACTTTATGATAAATCGTTCTAGCTACACTCCAATTATTCCATGAAGTTGTTTTAAATATGGTTATCTTTTATCATGCAAAGATAAAGAAAATTTTGTTAACCAGTTCATTTTTACTTCTTTGTCTAGATCTATGTAAAAATTAAAAGAAACTGTGGGAAACGTTTTTAAATAGATATATCGACAGCAAGGTTTTACTAAATTCTATAATAATAATAATAATAATAATAATAATAATAATAATAATAATAATAATAATAATGTTTTTGTCGTTTTTGCATGATGTTTTTTTTTTCCTGTTGATCAGTACGTTTAAGATATTCGGGTGATCAGATATATATCCTGGTGTTAGGGAACGACCCCTCCCATATATCCGCTAGCATCATTTATACGTATCACTATGGCATACGAACGTACACGTAGCCTTCTATTTAAAAAGCTTTACCTTTTTCGACTTTGTCGTCTGCAATCGGAATGATATGAAGTAACGAAAAATTACAAAAATGCGCACGTGAATTCATATTTTTATGATGGCACGTTTTCTTAGAAAGTTTTATGATTCTAGCCGTAATATTTTTGATGTACTATTTTTAACGCTTAACCAGGGGTCATAACTCTGCTGATCTCATAAGGTTTTAAATATACAGTATAGCGTAAATCTGTAAATATTTACGATTATATTGCTCGTGTAAAAATAGCCTTATTTAATGACTTTTTTTAAATAAAATGTTTAAACGAATTATTTTTTTCTGTAAGCTTTAAAAGAAATACACTTTACCGCTATCAACATATTAGATAATACGCTGAGTTTAAAAATAGCACTTTATCGACTATCGGTTTATTGATTTCCCCATTGTGTACCCCGGAAACGCGTACGTAACTACTTTAGATCAACATGACCATTTCGCCGGTATCAGGAACTTCGTTTCCGAATTGAGAGAAAAGTATAGAACGTAAATTTCTCAAATTTGTTTTATTTGAAAGATATATTTCTACTCTATTAAATTTGAAATTTTCGAGACAATCATTTGTGTGGAAAGGTCACAATTTGACGACCACACCCTCGACCATAGAAACAAATATTACTGTTCTGTATCTGTTACGCGTATTTTGTTAAATAGCGGTATTTCTGTATCGTTCAGTATGATTTAGGAACTGAAATCCTACTTAAAGTTAATTGTAAATAAAATCCTTACGAAGTATTTTAAGACTTAAATCTACATATTTTTTCTCATGAATTATAGATTTTAGTCTGACTTAAAATGTCATTATTGAATGAAATACTTAAGGTGATTCCGCTTTGTCAGCCATGTTTGTTTTCACAAAGTCTGTCCAAAGTGAAAGTAGGCCAAAATTCATATAACAACAAAGCTCCTATTGTAAAATGATGAACCATTTGAAAGTACACTTCCAGGTTTATGTTATAAGGACAATTATAAACAAAAATGAAAATGATAACAATAAGAATATTTACCTTGAATGTGCCACCTTTCTGAAGACCAAAAACATTTTGTTGCAAAGTTATATGCACATTTCATGAATGGCAAAATCCTTTTTAAAGTCTGTTTTAGTGCCTACAAAAGCTATTTTTTGAAGCAAATACAAAAATCTTTCAAAACTTAACTCCAAATAAATCAGTATCTCATGTCCTTCTAAGCACATGGCCTCCATTATTTTTTGTAAAAAAGTAGTGCACGAAAACAATCATCATTTATAGCCTTATGAATTACAATTAAAATGAAATCACAATCAAACTTTAAAATCTAGCCTTTTTTTGTGTAACAGTGAAGTGTGGTCTTTTGTCATGTACCACAAGTAATAGGTAAAATGATGTTTTATTCTCATGGTACTACTTTTTTTTACACATGTCATGGTGGCATTTTTTCAAGGTCAGATAAACTACTTTCCTAAGATTTATGTTTTTTTTAAGTTTTTTTGTATTTTATGCAAAATAGCTTTTGTAGGGCACTAAAACAGACTTTAAAAAGGATTTTGCCATTCATGAAATGTGCATAAAACTTTGCAACAAAATGTTTTGGTCTTCAGAAATGTGGCGAATTCAAGGTAAATATTCTTATTGTTATCATTTTTATTTTTAATTGAAATAGTCTTTAAAACATAGAACAGAAAGTGTACTTGCAAATGGCTCATCATATAACAATGTGAGCTTTGTTGTTATATGAATTTTGGCCTACTTTCACTTTGGACAGACTTTGTGAAAACAAACATGGCTGACAAAGCGGAATCACCTTAAACAATATATTCACAGTATATAAACGATTCATGAATACGTTCATTAAATTTTTAGGAATAAAAATAGATAAACCCCATATTCTTAGAAATAAATAAATATATCAAAGCTCTAGCTTTGAGTCGTCAAAGGTCTTTATATTCGTACATTATGTAAAAAATAAAACAAATTAATAAATCAACAAAAAATCTTACCGAGTATGGCATTTCAACTCAATAATTTTTCTTCTTATTCTTTTTATTCGATTTTTGCCACTAGATCTACATCATGAAGAAAATATGAGGAAATTTATGTTAGTCATTTGGTTTATAGATTATCAATGAAAATAAGAGTGGAAAATAAAATTGAAAACAACTATGACAAAACATAAAGATGTATTTTTCATAAAAGTTGAATCAGCTCTATCCACCTAAGAACGTCTTGGGCACCCGGTGTCGTTATGGACTGACATTCATATGTTATGTGGTCATATAAAATGTTCACATTGTGTTACACATTTAGATATAACATATAGCAACGACATTGTTTGAGATATCTATATTGTTATTCTAAAAAGGTATATATTGCAAATTGTTTGTTTTCCTTATTTCTTTCGAATTGAATGGTAAACCTATTACCTCGGGTAGACGACCTGTCACTATGTAACTACATTGGCCCGCCAGCGTCAACTTTTATTGATTTTGACGTACAATGTTCAGGGGTGTGATGACAGATGACCTACATTCACGCATGTAACGTATAGTTTGATATAGACTATCCGATGTATATAATGCTAAACGAGGCGAGGAATGCACCATGAATGTATTGTTAAAAATTTAATGTATTTAATGAAACTGGATGGTGTTCGGATTATTTGAGAATCGTACTATATCAACGTGACGGTTGGATAATATTTTTCTTGGATTTAAAACAAAGGAATAGTGAAGTTATTTTGAGTGAAATGTGTGAATAGTAAGTCTGTTCATAAGAAAGGACCGAGTCGACTCGTACATCATTTAGACAGGCATATTTCGTAAGTATCAGTTGTGAACAAATCGGTGCTGTTTTTACAAACATTGGAATGGGTTTTATTTTTTGAACTGATCAGATCACGTAGATCTATAAATAACGATCGAAAACTTTATTTAATAAGTTAAAATACAAAGCGCATGGTTTTACATTAAACCAAGAAACTATGTGTATTGTAATGTATGACGTGTTGACTAATTTGATCAAAAGTCGACCGTTTAAAACATATCATTTATAAAAATCGGTTAGTTATAATAGGGTATTTTTAACAACAAAAAATGAATAATGAATTGTTTAGGAATTGATTATTTCATAGTTAAAGATATGTTCTTGTCAAGTTTTGAATGTGGTTAAGTGTTTATTTACAAGAAAAACATTTTCCGAACGTTCAGAAGGAATTAAAAAAACAACATAGTAGATCTATTGTAATAGGAGTTTATTTTGGAATTTTAACATATTCGTGACATGTGCATATATATATAGACTTGTATAAATTTAAGTGATTAGGAATAAAACATCACCCCGATTCGAACATCCGACCTAAATGCACAGGGGCCGTTTATTTGTGCCATTGGGAGAGCCAAGGACCCTGTCAACGCTATGTTTGGTGCCGGACTAAAGGGTGACAGCGTGCTTAAATCATGTGACACCAATGATTGGACTAACAAATGTCCGGGATATAATGTTTTCAAATGCCGGGGCTCCACGACGAAATAAGGTTTCATTTATTGCTTTGTTGGTAGTGTTTTGTCTTGGAATAGCTAAAAACTGTACAGCCATCCCCCTAGAAGACTTCTACCCGTTCAACATCACCGGTGGGGATAATAAGACACGGTTTGAGGACGATGGTGGCACAGATCTGATGCAGCTTCCAGTTCCTTTTCCATTCTTCAATTATACATATTCAAGTTTTTACGTAAGTATCATGAACCTTTCGATAATTACCAAACACCGGAAATCCTGTATGCACATTTATTTACATTAACACAGAACTTGTCCTTTTTGCTCATTTTCTATTATCGACTCGTTATACTCAATTTGATAAGGTCCTTCACATTTCTTTTTTTGATGTTCAAGGACCTATTTCCTAGTAAGAAATGGTGTTTTTATTTGGGAAAACATTCGATTAACAATCTTAGATAATATTATAGATCTATTATTTATATGGGGAATTGTAATATACCGTATCAAGTCTATTTAAAGTATATATAAATTCAGATTGAGTACCCCAATCTCTCACCCGCAGCAGTTTTTCTGTTACAAATTATATAAATTCTACAAAGTAACAATGTCGCTGTCTTCTTGAATGCCTAACATAACTCACAATTACATAATACCGCATCGAGACACAGGTTCGGACATATTCGTGATAAGCGGACCATCTTATTTGTTATAGCCATTCTGAGATATCCGAAATACGACTTGTACGCCCAATAACTAAAATTTATGTGACGTTTTCTTATACTTACATTAATTAATGCATTCATTTCAAACAAGTTTTGTCACCCACACGCGTCTTCATGGTTATTGATAACAGCTTTTTTGTCGTAAATTATTAAAATTTAAATATACTGAAATCAACGTTCCAGTCAGTCGATTGTAACATCTTAGCTTATTTCAGTAATTTTTTAAAGAAATAGATTATATAATATTTAAAGTGTAGTTGTAAAACCACCCAGTCAAGAAAACAGACGAACTATTTTAGGTAAATGATTTAGATTAAAATTAATGTAATGATCCAATCATGAATTTATATACCCGACGGGCAAACCCTTTGTAAGATTTCTGTCTTGTGGGTGCGTGGGTAAAACCACTTGTGGGGGTGTAATATCACCACCAATTTCTGTCTTGTTGTGGCACGGGTAAAATCACCACCAGTTTCTGTCTGGGTAAAGTCACCACCAATTTTTGGCTTGTGGTGACGAGGGTAAAATCCTTACCAATTCCTTTGCAATGATGGTAAGGCTATATTTTGGTGCGGAATATTACAATCCGGGAGTGCGGGAACCTGCAGCATGTGCTGAGGTTAGGTCAAAGTACACTTAGTATAAGATGGTAAAAACATACTTCATACACGTAGAATTAATGACTTTTTAGCGACCAAACTTTTAAGAATTTTCCTTCTATTTTTTCCATCTTCCTCAGCTCGTGCCACGTGAAAAACGTCACGTGACTGTTCGCTCTTAACAGGGTCTTCCGAATATAAAAGACCCTACACTGAACTTGCTTTGAATGGTATTTTTTATGCGTTTTTTTGGAAAACAAGAAATAGAACAAGGGTGAGAAAATGCAGACATTAGTAGATGAATAACGTACATTTTTAGATCGACAAATTCTTTCCTAAGGAATGCATTCTATGTTACAACCGCCGTAGAGCACGCGAGAAAACCGTGCGCTTTGTTGAGTGTTCGCAGCATTCAGTGATAGTAAATTTAGTAGGTAGATAGCAATTTTTGTTCCGAGCACTCATAATTCATTTACCAGGGTGGCATACACATACTATGACGTCATACCAACGTCTGATATGAAAAACAACATGCAACTGGTGTTTTATTGTCTATAACTGCAGGTCGACGATCTCCGATTCATTTGATTTGAACAATAATTTATTACATAATTTCGGCTGAGCTCGGGTATTTGTGCAGTAGACTTTTCAGAGCGCTGGAGCTGTTAATGTTAGTATGGGATTTCAATTTCAAGGCCAAGCTATAAATTTGCCAGCCGTCGAGTTTAATTTACACTTTGTAAGAACTGTATTATAAGTGTACATGTATGTACATTTTGTATATATAGTAAGAGCACGCCACAAAAGATAGCGTTCCAATTTTCAAACTTGAACATTGAACTTTTTCTAAAGATTGTTTTATTATTTCAAGTTTTATTCAACCAAATTTACGTAAACGCAAATACTTCCATACTAGTACTCGATCTGTGCGTGCCCAAAAAAAAGCCAACTGCATTAAAGTGAAAAATATTCTTTTAAAATCATATTTAATCAGTGAAATTTTTATTTCATCTTTATTGTTAAGAATTTATGGAATACAATAATAAAATGAATAAATAAATAAAGCAAACTCATGAAAAAGGTGATAATTAATACATTTACAAGCGGCTTGCAAAATTCACAATTAAGGTAATCCTGATAGTCAAGAATCTTGGCTGTCCTTTATAATTTAATATAGGCGAGTTTTATTGTATAAAAACTGTACTATATATTTCGTTCATTTAAATTTCTTATAGATGCTTATTAAGTATGCTAATTAAATTAGTCGCCGGATTTTATGCGAACATGTACTAGCATAAATTCGTGGCAAAAGTGACATTTTGATATGTTAAATGTGAAGATTTATTAAGACGATACATATTTTAGTTTAATATGAATATAATGAACAAATTGCGCGAATTACCTCTATTTTTATGCCGCATACAGTTTCCGATTTCATCTTTCACTAAATACACTTGCTAGAAATTATTTTTGCTGTTTATATTGATGATAATAGGGAACAAAAACAACGAACAAAAACCTCCGCCAAGTTTGATTAACTGTAATTTTGAATATTTTGTTATTTAACAAAGATAGATAGATAGATAGATAGATACTTTATTAACTTAAACTTTTACAAGTTTTTCGTTATAACAAATAATATATGATACAAATTTACAATCACATGACAATGGCATACATAGAAACATTGAAATTAGTGCATAACATAGTGGGAGAAAGTAAACACACACACATACACACGCACACACGCACGCACGCACACAAGTACACCACACACACACGCACACACGCACGCCACGGTAAAAAATAATATTTATCACATGGAGAAGGAGGATGGGTATGTGAATACAGTTGCAATTCAGTTTATGAATACAAAAATTATACACAACCTAGATTTAGTAAAGTTCAATATGCAAATAACATTTACTAGTAGATGGTATAAATGATATGAAAAACTAAACAATTTGACTCGCTCTAACAGAAAAAGCTTTATACAAAAATTTACCGAGATTCTTTACTATTTTAAAATTCCTAGATTGCATCAATTCTACAAATTTGTACACACTTGGATGTCTGTAATAATAAGATTTTATAAAAGTCTTTCTTAATTCATCGTAAAACGGGCAAATGATTACAAAATGATATTCATCTTCTATATCGTTTTTGTTACAAAGTAGGCATTTTCTTTGATTGCGGTCTATTCTATTTGGCGCATATCGGCCTGTTTCAATTCTCAGTTTATGTGATGATAAACGCAGTCTGGATGTAGCAATTCTAAACTTTTTAGGTAAAATGTCTATATAAGATTCAAATTCAAAACTATTTTTAATATATCCATACGATACTTCACTGGTAGATAACTTACGTTCCCATTTTTGTTTAAAAACATCAGTTACTCTTCCTTTAAACAAAAATATGAAATTTTTTCAAGTCAACTAAACCTGGATTGTACCATACATAGGAAAATCCGTATTCATCTAAAAGAGATTTAACATTATAAACCCAATTATTTTTATTATTCTTAATTTCAAGCAGACAATCATATAGTTTACTGATCAAGATATTTTCCGTCGAAAACAGTTTTGCACCAAAATTTAATAATTCTAAACATATCTATTTATATACATTGGAAATCGACCTAACTCTCCATAAATACTATTTGTACATGTTGACATTTTAACATTTAATAATTGTTTACAAAATTTTAAATGAACACGTTCTATTTCTTTCGATTTTCCAAAGCCCCATATTTCGCATCCGTAATTCAAGGTGGCAGCAAAAAAAGCATCAAACAGTTGGCACATAACAGAGGGTTTAACGGCATAATATTTTGTTTTATGTATTAAAACATTCAAAGCTTTTAATCCTTTACCTACTAGTGTCGTCTGATTTAAAGTATAAGAGCCCGTGTAATTAAAAACCGTGCCTAGATAATTAAAGTTATTTACAGTTTCTATTAAGCTACCTTTGTATGTCCATTTTTCGTTTGCATTTAACGGGCCTCGCTTTCTGAATACAACAATTTTTGTTTTATCAGTGTTGACTTTCAAGCCCCCACTTATCACAATATTCATTTAGCAAATCAAGACTATGCTGTAATTCCACAGGACTTTTACCAAGTAAAACCATATCGTCAGCAAATAATAAAAGAATAAAAGTAATATCGTCAAGAGTTAAACCACACACAAAGGACTATCTTGTAAGAACAGTTCTAGGTCCTCTATAAAAAGAGAAAATAGTAGAGGCGACATTATCTCCCCTTGTTTCAAGCCCACAGCGCATGCAAAAAAGTCTGAGTAAGAGTTACAAGCCTTTAACACATGTTTTAACATGTGAATACATACTTCTTAAAATTCGCAAAGCTTTGCCCACCTATACCTAGCTTATATAATTTTAAAAATAAACCATTTAAATACACTGTCAAAGGCACGCTTTAAATCAATAAAGCAACAATAAAGACGATTTTTATCATTTAAGATTTTTGAACGATAGCATTAAGAACAAAAATTGCATCAGTAGTTGACCGACCTTGACGAAATCCGAATTGCGCATCACTCAATCTACTGTTATTTTCGGCCCAGCATGAAATTCGTTTATTTAAAATACCTGTAAAAATTTTGATAAACAACTTACTAATGTAATCCCTCTATAATTACGAGCATCACAGGGATCGTTTTTCTTAAAAATAGGTATAATTATGCCCTCTGACCATTTATCTGGAAAGTGACCAGTATTTAAAATAATATTGAAAAGATCTACTAAATGAGATGACAATATATCGATACATGATATAAAAGTATTCGTTTAAAAGCATATCATTCCCAAAAGCTTTATTCCTTTTCAAATTTTTTAACAACAGACAATAATTCTTCTACAGTTATTGTACTATCTAGTTCATCAAAACATCCCCC